CGAAGTCGCGTGTACAGCTAGTTGTCGGTAGTCTAGCGATTTAGCTAGTACACCGCTTTGATTCCTGCTTGGTAGTCGAGGGTTCGATTCCTCGCACGCTGCAAACATTTGTATTCATGAGTATGATTGTTTGTAACGGTCTGGGTGTTTTCTATGTATAGATAATATATATGTATTTACGAAAAAAAATCTTTGTATTTATATCAGTTGTCTAGTACCCATAACATAATCTTCAGCTAGCTTAACTTGGGTCTAGATGAAGCTGTGTGAATTGTCCTGAGATTACTATTATTACTATAATAAATCTTTTCAAATCAGCCGATGTTTATTTTTGCCATAATACGTGCTGTTACCATGTGATAATATTACGTAGTTACTGTTTGATAATGTGATAATATTACGTACTTATTACTGTTTTAAATGTGATGTGTTCATTATTTATATTTCCTTTGAATTAAAGACAAGTGTATATATATATATATATACGCGCACTTAGTTGTACACTTTGTTGATCCAGCCACGACCCGTAGATACATTTGTTGGTTCCACTGTCTCTCTCTTTCTACCACTATAACGGTATCGTGGTGGAACGGCAACATGTTGCCGTTCCGCGTTCCCGCGTGTTCCCTAGATAAAGTATTCGTCGATAGTACCTGTACTCGATATATATTTTTTCAACAATTTCCTGCAATAGTGACTCCGTATCAGCAAAATTTTTTAAATGCACAAAAACTTTTTGGCTCTGAATATATTTAAAAAATCATTTACTTGTGTGTTGATGAATTTATATACTAGTACATGAAGTACCTAAAATACTTGTTTTGATTCGAATAGGTAGCGATATTATGAATTTATTATACGTAATCTAAAGATTTTGACGAAATAAGAGTAATTAGTTATCTATCTATCTGTTAACCTTGACTTCATACTGGCATCAGTATTATCAGATGATGAACATACTCTTCGAAAACTTACAGCAGAAATATCGTGTTTGGACTCATTAGATTGGTCTCGATGAATAGAGTTTAAAAAACTTAAAATAAATGGTAAATTAGAAATAACGTATAAAAACACTCTACGCAAAATTCAACCACTTTAAAACTTAATAATAATAATTAGGAAAAGATCAAAGCTATAAGTGCACTGAAAGTAATTGATGGCTTCCACACAATATTTTCAGTACTAAACAACTCTGTTTGTTCAGTAAAAGTGTAAATACACTGGTAACCTTTAATCATATTTTATATGCAAACATTACATATACAAACCCTAAAGTTTTATTTCAAGTAAATAACTAGTTTATTAGCATACAACGTTATAATTTAATTTTCTCATTGCTTTCTTGATTTAATTGATTGATTTTAGAAACATGAAAGCGTAGCGGTTTTTGTATTGATTGCCGCATGCATTCTTATGTAAAATGTGAATACTATAACTATCAGATGGCAATTGTAAGTAGCTTTGACGTAGTCTAGTGTTTTGAGTAGTCATGCTCACTAAAATGTCCAGACTTGTGGCGGCGTGGTGGGCCGGGTCATTGGGCTCCCTAAAATATGGTCGAGCGCAGTGATGGCTGGCTCATCCGTCATACTCGTGAACGGGTGCTGCTTGTAGGGACTGGTCTGCTCTAATCACTATGACTGATTTTCTCTTATTAATTGTTTAACCAGTTGGTTATATATTCAATATTTTTTCTATTTGAGTATTTAATTGAATTAGTGCTAATTGTTGGTTTGTATTCACACACTTAAACTTAAAAATGTAAAGTAATAATAAAATTATTTAAAAGAGCAACACGCAAGTTTCTTGCTCATTCTTCTTGTGATGAGACAGCTTTCCGAACGAGCGGTAGATTAAAAAATGTAATGACTATTCAAAAGTGCTTCAATGTAAGTTTATTTGAATAAATGATTTTCTATTTCTATTTCTATTTCAGAATAGCCAGTAGTTTTCAAGAAATAAGTCTTTGAAATTGTACGTGTAACTTATATATATACTAGTTTTTTCACCACAGCAAACAACACCAATATGGCCTAGTTAGTAGTGTACCTGTTTACCAATTTACCACATAGATACTCCGATTTCGAATCCTACACTTTTTTTTAATTATTTATTTTTTTGTTTTTTTTTTTATTTTATATTTTAATAATTAATTTATGATTATACACGATTATGAATTTATAATAAAAACGTAGTTAAGTATTAAATTAATTTTACTAGTTAGGAGTGTACCTGTGTTCCAACTTACCACACAGACACCCCGGGTTCGATTCCCACCATTGACTATTGTTATTTACTTCTTTTTTTTTTTTTTTAATTTAATATTTTAATAATTAAATTAATTTATACGATAAAAAAACGTAGTTAAGTATTAAATTAATTTTACTAGTTAGGAGTGTACCTGTGTACCAACTTACCACACAGACATCCCGGGTTCGATTCCCACCATTGACTATTGTTATTTACTTCTTTTTGTTTTTTTTTAATTTATTATTTTAATAATTAAATTAATTTATACGAGAAAAACGTAGTTAAGTATTAAATTAATTTTACTAGTTAGGAGTGTACCTGTGTACCAACTTACCACACAGACACCGATTCCCACCATTGACTTTTTTTTTGTTGTTTTTTTTAAAGTAATATTTAAAATTAACTATTTTAATAATTAAATGAATTTAATCGACAAAAACGTTGTTTAATATTAAATAAATTTTAAGTGACATTAACTATTATAGCATGCACAAAAAATATTTTGTAATAATAAAGAAAATACATTTGAAATGTTGTTGAGTTAATTATTTATAAGATCTTACTATAATTGTTAGCTGCTTTACAATTTAGAAAGTATAATAGTTAATGTAAATTAAAATTAATTTAATACTTGACAACTTTTTGTTCGATTAAATTCATTTAATTATTAAAATAGTTAATTTAAAATATAACATAAAGTCAAAACAAAAAAAATTCTATGGCGGGAATCGAACCTTGAGCGTCCGTTTGGTAAGTTGATTTGAAATTCAAAGGCTTATTTCTTCGAAATTACTGGTCATTTTGTAATAATACTTAGGGTTCGCATACCCTTATCGGATACTACTACTACACGGAGTTTCTTCAAAATAAAATATCTAGGTTAGGTATAATAAATTCATAATTAATAGACTGTTACGGTATCTGTATATATTCGGATCAAAACAAGTACTATGAAATAAGCACGAGTATATAAATTGATTAACACAAGTAATTGATTTTTGAAATATATTCAGAGCCAAAAAGTCTTCTTTCTTTATTTATGTACTTGTTATATGCGACAGCGACTTTGTTTTATACTATACTATAATATGTAATGATTGATCTACCTAAAATAAATAAAATATCTGAGGTTTGGACAAAAACTCAAAAAGTAATTTGTTTTGTAAAGGTATTTTGAAAATACTTATTTTGCTTTTAGTGTTATAGTACTTTAAGTGTTATATTTTAAGTAACAATGTTTAATTATAATTAATACCACTGCACCAACACTCCGATCGTGCAAAAAATTTAGCTGTTTCATTATTTTTTAGTTCAATTAGTGGTCTACCTAAGTCCTGGGCTAAGGGGGGGAGAGTCATGACCCCCCATGACTCCCAAGACCTCCATGACGCTCCCCCCTGGATCCGCCGTTACGTCTTCTCTTCATTCGCTCAGTAACGTTGTTACAAAAGGAAAAATTCCCGTCCAAAAAATAACAAGTATTGAGTTTTGATCTGGAGTCACGTTACTCCAGACTGATTTCAATAAATATTTAGATTAGATAGACTATTATTTTTGAAATACTAGCTAGACATTATTAAGTTACTGTAGCCATAATGTAGTAGCCCAAACGTGCCAATGAGGAAGCCCTTGGCAAATGCTGCGCCCTGATTGGCCTGTTTGAATTGGATCAAGAAGTGGTCGTATGCCAAAAAGGTGGATTTGTATAAAATCGTGTATAAATCGCTTAATTATTATTATTACTCGTCGTGACAGTTGTGGCTCAAAAAGGATCAACATTTATATATCGTCAGCTGGCATTAGATCAACAAAAGGCCTCCGGATCAACAAGTGAAAAAGGATCAACAAAAAACTACCTATACGGCACGTCTGAGCCACAAAGTGCCCAAGGGGATATTTATATATATATACTTAAGAGATACAATAATATATAACATAAATATATACAAATATGATACCTATATACACATAAATATATACATATATATGCATTAAACTTAAATATATACCAAATAGTCTGACAGTCACAGAACTAAAGAGAGTTAAATCGAAAAAAAGTGAATTCAGAGAAGAGAGAAAGTTATAAATTCAAATAATATTCCCGTAGTTTACGTTTAAAAGAAAATTTATTCGTAGCAGTTTTGATATCAAATCCACTTATGATTTGAAGAAGTAAGTTAATTTATGTGTTTCTTTCTAAAAACCTCACACGCTCCACAACTATTTTAGAGATCTACAATAAATTGTATAAAATGCAGCCCATGTTACTCCTAGTATTGTAACTGTGTCAGTAGACGACAGAATATATCATACTAGTGCTTCCGATAAGAACAGAATTTTGTTTTTATGAAAAAAAGAATATTATTATTAAAAAGGACATTAAACAGAAAGTGATGTTGTGTATAAATAAAATATCGCTGTAAAGCACCACGAACATTATATAAAACAAGAACATGAAATACAGCGACGTACAGTCAGCTGAAATGCTTGCTTACATAAGAGTTGGAACAATGGTGTAGTTCTCATACAGTCCTCCTAGGTGGCGCTGCTTAAAATGCACACAGAATCCTAGTTGGCGATGTTAAGATTTTTTCGCTTTGAATGACCTCCCCGGGGTACGAAATAGTTGTTATCGCTTCTCGGCCTTTTTGCTAAGATCAAAGTGTAGTATCTGTTCTTTTCAGCTTAATATCTGAAAGTTCCCTCACTGAGGGACCAGTATATTAAACTGATTTTTGTAAACTGACAAGATGTTGGGGGCTTGCTCCACTCTCGTCACGGGTCGGCCCAGCATTGCAGTGCCGCAGGGATTGGCCCACAAAATTCACACAACATCCTACTATTCGAACCCACAGCAACCACCGGTACGGGGGTAGTCTACACGTCGTACGCTTTGCATATAAGCGTACGACGTGTAGACAAAACCCAAAAACCTTAAATTAAATACAAATGTAGTAACTATACGACGACGTGCATACGTAGTACGTGTTACACAATTGTACTAAAGCAAGTGGCACAAGTTACTTTTGACATTAAATATACTTTAAACTGCAAAAACTGGAAAAATATCATCATCAAATCGCCGGAGCAAAAATCGTCTTTTGCAAAAAAAAGTTGGGATAGACAAATTAAAGGTAACATTACGAACATTTCCTTATAATGACGACCTTGGTGGTCTAACAGTTTATTACACCGCCTTACTTCCAATAGTGCGGATTCGATTCGATTCGATTTGTATTCCTGATTTATTAAATACCCGGTTTAGGAAACAAACGAAAACTTATTTGAACAGAAACAGGAAAACGGACGAGTGTAAGTGGTAACTTTCGGCTATGGTACGGTGTTGTTCATGTAACTTAGTTCAAGCAGTACCTAATCCACATGCGTTAATAGAAGTAGTCCTCTCAAATTGAAATCCGCATCGCAGATATCAAGTACGTGTACAAAGTTAAAAAATGGACATGTTACAAAATATTATTAAAATTTACTATCAGCTATTAATATAAATCGGCTACTATATTGCACGACTTCTTCAGACATATTGGCCTGTTTAGATACTAATTTTAAAGATACAGCTCAGCGGTTTATAACTAGCCACTGCTACATAATGACGACCGACGCTACATATATCAGTGCATTGTACCATATTAGGTACAATGTTCAGCAATAAGCCCACTGATCCCCATTACTAATAACACCTTTGCACTAAACTTCAAATTTTACAGGCATGTGGACTGTTCAACACAATTTTTCGTCTTACTACAACCCGCGCCGTGGATGGCTCACAAATACGTAGCGTTCGGACAATTAATCGATGGCGAAGAAACTTTGCAAAAGATTGAAAATGTCCCCACGTGGTACGAATCACCAACACAAGATATTATAATTTACCAAAGTGGTATTTTAAATATGGAATGCCAAGATATAACAATCAATAAAGGAACTAAAGAATATATTCATGGACACATAGATGATCTGGTAACAGTGGGAAAATTATTTTATGAGGTACTGTTTTCAAAATATTATTTGAGAACGTTGTAGCTTAATGGTTTAAGTCGCGAGTTTGAACAACGCCGACACCAAACCAACATGAGAAAAAAACAAATGAGAGAGAATATTCTCTTTTCCACGTTGTATATATCCCTCGAACTGTGTCAAGTGTTGCGTTCACCATTACACCTATTAGTTAACACTGTCGTACATCAATATATCCAGGATCCAATTGTGAAGGTATATATATTTTGTGTTAATTATTTCTCTGTTTTGTTCAGTTGGTGCACTGTAATTAAAAATTTTAATTTTAGGTATTAATAGAAAAGGTATTTCTAGAAATTGAATTTAGGTTTATTGCAAACGAAAAAATGGTAGCCGAGGGTGAGGATGCACAAGAAGTTACTGAAACTGTTCGGGCTACTGAAAGGTGTGAAATTTTTCAAATATTTAGACTATAAATAATCAAATATATGTCTATATATAAGAAATATTAATTGTATAAGATTGATGATGGCCTTTAACACATTAGTTTTGTTTCAGTATATTTGTACTAGAATAATCAGTATTTGTACGAGAATCCACTTACAGGTGCCCCTGAGTGTAATGGCTTTAGAACTCGTTTTTATCTTCCTACAAATCTGGAATACCATAAAACTTATATTAAAGCTTTGGACACTCATTCTAGTACACACATACCACTCTCTTCAGATTCAACCGTAAAAAGGAAGATATAGAAAAACAAATTGAAAAGAGTGAACTGGATAACCGCGGTGCATCAGTAGCAAGTGAGCCATACAACGGCGATGCTGTGGAAATGTATGAATATGAACCCGAAGAATATTCGTACCAGCATGTCTCATTAGGACATACAGCAAGTATTGAAGTAAATCCAGAGAAGCCGTATTATTTTCCACTAACTGACGTACCATACCCTGGTGAAGTAGATTCCACTTATGATTTGAAGAAGTAAGTTAATTTATGTGTTTCTTTCTAAAAACCTCACACGCTCTACAACTATTTAAGGGATCTACAATAAATTGTATAAAATGCAGCCCATGTTACTCCTAGTAACTGTGTCAGTAGACGACAGAATTTTTAAAATCGTAATGTTTTTCGGAGTATATTCATTAGGCAGGCTACTGCTGCCAGAGTCGTGTCTAGTATGACTGATAAACATCAGCTATCTTCCTTAAATATGTAAATAATAAAAATTACTTTGTTACTTTTGTATATGGTGATGCACCATACAAAACGCACCACTAAACGTAAGTCCCACGTTGGGTGCCACAGCAGCCAGCAGGGCCAACTCAAATATGTCTAAAAATAACTACCGGAAGTACTTTACTGCCATCTCAACTTGCGATATGAGGGTGTCAATTTAGTGGCACGTTTAGGGCTATTGCTACACGCTGTATATTTTATTTATTTGTATGCTTTGAATAGGATTAATTAGTTAATAGTTTCATATTGAATATTTAGAGCATTGAAATTTAAACCAACATTGGTTTAAATTTCAATGCTCTAAATATTCAATATGAAACTATTAACTAGACCTTTACTAAGAGACCTTTCACATTTTTTGGCGTAAAACAACGAAAAACCGGAGTCTTTGGGGTTCTGGTTCTAAGCAATTAAGAGTCGGATATACATTTTGATTCCTGAATTATATAGATAGATATCTAATCTTAAAGACAGCATCTTTATTATGTTAATTTTCTCTTTATTAGTCATCCTAATTTCTAAAAAAGTTTATTCAAGAACACTAAGAGACAGAAGATTGGGGTCGTCATTCATTAATAAATAAACATAAATAAATATGATATCTTTACTAAAACTTGGTAATTACTTTATTAATTGAGACAGCATCGTCTTTTTTTTATTTTCTACTTAAATATCTAAAAAATTAAGCATAATTAAACCAAAATTTATTAAAAATATAACAGCCAATACATTTTTCATTGTTCTAAATTACAGATTTTTGAAAGGAGACTACTGCCTGGAAACAGATATCGAGGATAATGCTCCAAAGAAACTTGCACCACAGAAAAGAATATCTTATCCATCAGAAATATTTAATGTACTTAACGACTCAGAATCTGCATCGTGTTAGTTTTAAACTTATCGATTTTCCTACAGCTTGTTTAATATGCGAACAAAATCGAATAAATATTATATAGTGTATTACTATGTAATATTATGTTAGCTGTGGTATTACTAAGATATTTAAAATGTAGATCATGCAGTTTTTGTTTGATAAAGAAAAATCTACTTTTACTTTAATTATTAATATGTACTTAGTTTATCTTTTTTTTTTAAGAAAATGTGACGTATCGTGATTTTTGTTTTATCCAACTAACAATTCTGTGAACCATTTTTATGGGTTATAAATATTTAATTACTTTTACATCATTACATTTACTAGCTCAACTGACACTGAAAGATCGTAAGTTCCTATCTTACTGACACGAATCTTTGCGTATCATTTATAATTCATATTATCTCTCTGGCTATGGAAATACAGATTATTATCTGCGTCTAACATAGATTGTTAACTAAATGAATATTAGAGACTACGCCAACGGTAGGTACGCCTTCAGCAACGTTGAATTAAAATATACCTATCGAAATACGGGCAGATGTCAAGAATGCTGTTCACAACGATGTCAACATTTGACAATGTCTCTGTCTAACCTATCTAGGATAACTGTCGTAATGGCATGTTTCTTTTGTTATAAACTTTCAGTATGGTTTATTAATATGGAGTCCGTTTATTATTTTAGTCAAAAATCGCGGTGTTTAATTATTACCTATGCTCCGATATTACTATTTTTGTTTTCAGCGGAATCCCTGGATTCTGACGAGGAGAAAGATTTAAATAAATATCTCAAGTAATTTAATGAATTTCATAATATTAAACATGTTGGTACACACACAGAGAATAGCTACACAGAATGCGATAACTGTTTGTCCATTGATACTGATATTGGAAATGTTTGTTTGTCACCTATTCACGGCTAAATGGCTGAACGGTTCTTAATGTTTATAATATGAAGATAAAATATGACGTGGCCGAATATAGGCTATCTTTTATTAAAAAATGATGAACAAAATCAATTGTTAAATAGATCGTTAGCAATAATACAGTGTTAGTTCATGAAGGGTACCGCTAAGTCGTAAGTCAGTGTTAACGATACCAAACTATTTTCCTACAGAAGCAAAATGGCAATTTGAAAATGATTTTTAAAACATAAATTAAGCTATCATATGTCTAATTAATAATTTTAAGTTCTAATACTATATTTTTTAATTTTATATTTTTTTATTGCTAAATGAGTTTCGATTTTAATGAGTACTAAGTATTATAGCTGGTCTTCGAATATGTACCTTTTACTACTAGCGCTGAATAGATCTATTTTATCTATTACTTTTATCTATATCAATATGTATAATACAGTGGTAAAATCGTGACGAGGTGAAAATAGACTGTCTCTGAATTAAAGCTGCTTGGCGACTGAAATGAATGGACTAGATACAAAGTTTACATCGAATACATAGTATATAATATAGTGTAAAATAACAATATTTTACCCTTCTAGGTTAAACATGGATCGTGTAAGTTTTGCAGGAGGCATCATAAAAGGAATAGCGCGAGGTGCAGCCCAATACAACATTTTTGAAACTCACAGAAAGTGAGTATTGATTAACCTTTAAACTATTTAGTCCTCCAAACGCGCTCTTTTATCAAAGTTTATTAGATAAAGGCAGATTTAGACTAAAATAACTCGTCATTCATCTACTACTCCAATTCTGTTTAATGTAAATATGGTAAGACATTAGCTTTAAGTTTCTTGGAGTAGTTATCTTACGATATGTACATTAACTTGATTAAAAAGTGTTATTGTTAAAAATATGTAATACACATAAAATTACATATTTTATGTGTATATTTTTAACTGCCACCATCGTAATTATATGATACCCAAGTATACTCACATCACTCACTGTGGGTTACCAGTGTGTGAAGAACATATACTTGGTACAACACTAACTGTTCCAGTGAAATGTCAGTATATATTTATATAGGTAATATAAGTATAAGGATAACTATAAGGATTTTCATGACATCATTTTCCTACAGGTCAGAGTTAATAACTGACGAAGAACTTAGAAAATTTCGGTAAGAAAATAGAACACATTCATACTCCCTTATTTCTGTGGATCTATCTTGTTATTCATATTTAGGTCCCATATATATGATGCCCTTATTGATAGGTAATAACCGTTATTGCAGATTAATGTCACTGGACTTACGCTCGCGTGATACCCATGAAAAGTGAGTTATTTTCAATTGTAACAGAAAAAGTACCGACTTATTTGTTAATGTCTATTTTTTATGACTAATATTCCCGTAGTCTATACGGGTACTTATAAAATCTATATCTACTAAACTAAAATCTTAAACTAAAGACTTTTTAATTTCACCAAAAAGCAAAGTGGAAACTTATAAAGAATTTTAATTTACACGCAAGTGACTACGTAGCCGCGCAGTTTCTGTGAAGATTAAAAAAAATATTTTGTATTAGCTGGCTCGTCGAACTTCGTTACGCTTAACAGCCAATGAAGCAACAGGATGGAAAAATATTCCTAAATATGACACTAAATTTTAAGTAAATTCTTGAGTTATAAATGGTAACTGATTTTGTTTTATGTATCCTACTGGTATATTGAATATGGAGACCATTCCTAAAATAAAGTTGGTGCATATTAGATATTACATTGAAACAAAAATATCATATAAATATAGAAATCCCGAAATCAGGTATGAAGTTATACTCGTATGTATATGGACATACTTACGTATATATATATATATATATATATACTTTCAGGAAGGTATCTATTAGTGTACCATCCACTGACACAGGGATACACCAAAAGATAAAGCGGAGACAAACTGGCTTCGTGCGACCCCAAGACTTGGAGAAAATACACTTGATAAATAAGAGCGAAGAAATTACTCCTGAGGAGGACGAACTTGTTACTCGGTTATTTTACATTATATACTTTTTATAACGGCCCATCTGATTATAAGAGGTAGCCGTCGCCTATATACATGAACAACGGACCAGTCCATGCGTTGCCATGTGAAATAAAATGATATTAGTAAGATTTTTTATTGATTGACACTTTAATTTACTGAACTTTACTAAAACACATATTTTAGCGTAGTCGTGTCAGCTGGGATCTATATGGAGCTGAGTGAATTTTCCAGGGTTATATAGTATTGTTATTTTTAACAGGAAGGTTCGCATAGCTCCATCATCGGATACTAATGCAACTCCTCGTCCAGCCCGGCGGCCCACGGGTTTTGTTCGTGCGGTCGATATAATTGATTCTGATACACAAGTGCAGAGGCCATCAGTGTTACAACGGCTGTACGATAATGTCTCGTTGATAGATAACCATGGTCCTACTTTGAAGGATTACAGGTACTGTTTCAATATCTAAATATATATAACTCAAAGACGACTGACGTAGTGATCTATCAACGCATAGCCCAAACCACTGGACGGATCGGGCGGAAATTTGGCATGCAGGTAGATGTTATGACGTAGGCATTTGCTAAGAATTAAAGAAGAAAGATTTTGATTAATTCTATCCCCAAAGGGATAAAATAGGGGATGAAAGTTTATATGAAACTTTGTAAATTTTGCATGCATAAAGCTACTATGACGATCGGGCTGAGATTTTGCATGCATAAAGCTACTATAACGTAGGCATCTCCTAAGAAAGGATTTTGATAAATTCCACCCCTAAGGAGATAAATTAACGCGAGCGAAGCCGCGAGCAAAAGCTAGTTATAACATATAAGTAGTAATTCGTACAACTAAGTTTCTTCTAAGGTGTCGCAGTAATAAAGTGCCGCCTAATTGCGGCGAACCCGTTATAAAAAAACAGGCAGATTATAGATAGATAATATTAGTATGAATTTTTGTAGAAAGATACTTTAGTTTATAATGTCCTGATTTAACTAAGATATATATTACAGTGGTCGTGGAACTCATAAAAGAGATTAAAGATTAATTAATAGTACAAAAATACTAAAGAAAAATTTACAAGTTTTGTATGATTTTCAGACCCATATCCGAATCACGGCAGAAAAGTATTCTGCTAACCTATTCACCCAACTCTCGAATCAAGAATGATGACAGCAGAGAGAAGTATCTCCGTCACTCCATCACAATCGAGGACGATTCCATTGAGCAAGTACTTAACTTGCAACATGGACAAAAGGTTGCACGTAAAATCTCTTCAGATTACGTGAAAACCATAGACCAAATGGAGCATAAACTAGAAACATCTATACGAAGCATAGAATATGCAAAGACACGTCCCGTAATGTCCGTAACCGAGTATCAATTAAAGAATCAGAGGTACAATGAGGGGGTAAGGACGTCCAGAGTACAAGTGAAAACGGTTCGAACATCAGGTAATTATAATCTCTGATGAAAAAAAATGTTAGTTTTTCTAATTACAGTCGTTATGCTATATTCTAAAGCTAAATTAGTTGAGATAGTGACCCCTTTGCTACCAAGGTACGGTATTAGGTCGTGGTCGCGGTCCCCTCTGGAAACCAATTCACCACGATGCGCGGACTGACCTGACTTCATCCCGATTAAATCATCCTCCACTCGTACCCCGCCAGCAAAAACATTCCATTATATTTTTGCTGGCGGGGTAATTCCAATTATCACAGGCGGGTACTAATTCATTATCATCCATAAAAAATATATAAACACCTATTTCCTTAAGTTTCATTACATAACAATAGAGATTGTAACTGGATTAGTTAAAAAATTGTTTTGATTGGAAAATGCGAGTATTGTATACAAGTGTGGAATATTATAAAATTTAGGACACACTCATACCATACCAACTTTTATCCTCTTTAATAGATGAAGGGTTACCAATAGGAGGACTGCGACTACCAGGAGATACACCGATTTACTCATTGTCAGATGTAAGTATTTGGATTCTTTATTAGATTCAATAATAATTCGATAAGTTTTAATGTTTGTATTTAAAGTTCAGACGTATGCCTTGTCTTATTTAAAAAAATAGGTTTATACTCTCCATCTAAGTTTTCTCAAATTAAAATTATAGCTTTAATGGTAGACTAGTTTCGTACTCACACAGTAAAAAAATTATGAGATGAAAGTTATATTCAAGTTCACTCAAATATGTTAATGCATTTTTCAATTAATAATTGAGTATTTCAAAGGATTTTATTTGCGGCAGGATTAGTACCAGCTCTCTACCAGCACTACCAGCGTATACGATAACACGAGATACTTTTTTACTGATTTTAATGTGATTATTATAGGAACCTATTATATATATTTTACATTAAATTTGAGTCCTTTTAGTATGTTGTTTCAATTGTATAAAAGAATGATATATTTTTACATCATTTCGTGTTGTATGCATGTTATTATGTAAAATACTTAGGTTCATCTTACAAGTAATATAATTGAATCTATGAACTAGTTTTTAATATTACCAATAACGAATGATTATTTATTAGTATTATTAAAAACCCGTTCATAGATTCAATAACATGTATAGAAATGGTTACATTTTGAATTGACTACGATTATTTGGAATTCGACAAAGAAGTAGAGCTGTTTTATAACCTCATTTTTTTTATATTACATTTTCAATAACGCCATAATGAAAAGATAAAATTAATAAAAACATTTTAATAACACTGAAATAGTACATAAAATTTCCACCGATTAATACTACTAGGTACAATATAGTTACATTATCACAATGTCAACATATATACACCGACTTTCTGAGTGTGCACTACAGCGAGACTCGCAATTACACTATGCACTTAGAGCACTAATTACAAAGGCCATACTGGTATTGCGAGCCAAGTTGACGGTAAAATTTACATGTCAGTTACAGTCAAGTTCAGTCATGTCCAAATGGCCCACTAAACAATTGACAAACCTACGTTTTCATTTATGATAGTGGCACTTTTGCCGACTAGCATTATCACATAGTTCCACTTTATACCACCTAGATGGCGCCATGGCCGTGTCCGTGGCCGATGGCGCTGACCCCATTGGTCTGGCTGGGTGTTGTTTCGCCGTTGTTATTCCTTTCACCATTGTTGCTATCGGTACTATTTCGACTCTCGAGTTGCTGTTGCCACATTCCCGCGTAAAAACCGTTTTGAGCAAGTAAAGTTTCGTGGCTGAAAAATCGACAAAATTTAATATAGGTGTAGTTTGAAAATCATTATTACGTTTCCTTATTCCTTGGTTTATTCTAAGATAATAACAATAAAACCTGGAGCAGAGTTAGTTCAGTTGCTCGAATACTTATTTGTAGCCTTTCTCTCTAACACAACATATGTAAATCTTGGAAAAATAAATTATATAATCATAAAAAATTATATCAGAGAATTCGATTAATGAAATTAGGATAGCGAAAACTTATCCACTCTAAGTACTCTCAGGCTCAATTATAGCTATGTTTCTTTACTATAGGAAACATTACAATCTAGTAAAATAATGAACACAATAACACCGTAAATAAGGTTTAAAATATTATTATTACTTTTAAAGGGCTTTACAGCGTCTCAAGATTTTTTTAGTAATATACAACGACATCCAAACATATACTCACTCTCCTCTCTCGATTATTTCTCCTTCTTTGAGCACGAGGATTTCATCGGCGTGAATAATAGTAGATAACCTATGCGCTATTATTAAAGTGGTTCTGTTAGCGCATACACGGGCTAACGCCGCCTGAAAATAGATAATCATACATGTACAGGCCACGAAAACAGCAACTTGCTTTAAGTTAACCTTACAAAATTTTCATAGAAACGGGGGATCTTGACGAAATTGAAAATCTCCTTTTTTCGAAGTCGGTTGATATCTAATATTACAAAATATAGAAACTAGAAAGCACATGATAGAAATATAGCTCACTTGCATTCTTAATAGGGCGTAATATTAACGAACAAAAACATTTTCATTGACTAATTATAAATGTATGCCTACTCTTCTTCGACATTTTGTGCTTTGAGACAAGAAGGTCTTAAATCACAGAATGTTAATTGATTACCTATGTTCTCTTCTTTATACTATTTGAATACTATACAGAAGTGGAGCTGTTTTTGAGCCTCATTTGTTTTGGCTCAATTACATTTCCATAATGTTATCCTTCGCTGGTTTCCCGCCAACAGAAAACATTATAGTACAGGCAGAATTATCTTTCCATCATTACAGTCAAGATTTCCTTCACTGATATACTATATGTACAAATATTCAAGGTTTTACCTGAATATTTCTTTCTGTGTTGGTGTCCAGAGCAGACGTCGCTTCATCAAGAAGAACGATCGCTGGATTTTTGAGTATTGTACGCGCAATAGCTATCCTTTGTTTCTCCCCACCACTGAGACGTAGGCCTCTTTCACCCACCTGTTTATAATAAAATAAATAATATATAAATAATTACGTGAATGTTTTTTAAATTAATTAATTTTTAAAAGTCAGTAAAGAATATAAGCCTATAGTATTAAAGTATAAATTTTAAAATATACTGTTAACCTGTGTGTCATAGGCATTGGGGAACGTTAATATTCTATCATGGATATCAGCATTCTTTGCTGCCGATATTATATCCGCAGCTTCCGCAGTCAATTTCCCATACTGAATGTTGTATCTGCAACAAATAAAACATAACTATAAACAAACTGTAGCATATGATAATAAGAAAGTTGAAGTATTCTATAAATACTAGTATTTAACTTTAAAAATACAATAGTGTTTTGTATTGAATATAATGTACAATGTTAAAAAAAACATGCATTTGTGGAAATTTATGGCGCATTATATAACGCGCCACTAATTCGCCAGCCTGATATTGCAAATTCCGGTGGCAATAGTGTAGTTCAGGTAGTTATCGGACATTACTTGATCCTGCCATAAATTTAATGAACTTACTGTGCTTTCGTGACAATTGTTTCTACCTCGACGCAATCGTTACTACCTCTCGCCTCGCACTTTGCCAGTGTCGAGAGTCAAAACGTGGGTCTACTAGTACCTATTGCTAACAATCTCCTCCATTACTCCCTCGTGTTTCATAATATCACATACTGACCGCACGGTATTGTTAAATAGCACGGTATCCTGCGGCACGACACCGATGTTAGCTCGCAGGGACGCCTGCGTGACGGACTTCACATCCTGTTCATCGACCAGCACAGCACCCTCGTTCACGTCGTAGAATCGGAACAGCAGTCGCATCACTGTCGACTTGCCGGCACCACTCGGACCCACCTGCCAGTGTATTATTTACTACTTAATATATTTATATTATTTTGTTTAATTCCGCTACTATTAGCGTGTGTGACTACAAACATAGTGCAGAAACTTCGTCACTACTACTAGAAGTTACGAGCTTCCCTATTAGTGATGAATTACCTACCGTTATTGTATCTATACTCATAATGCGAAACGTGTTCCGCCTCTGATCATGGGCATCATCGGGCAATGAATAGAGTTCGGATATAGCTTGGAAACCTAGTGTTGACTGTTCGGCGACCAAACTAAAACTTAATATTTGTAGTCTAACACATGCATATGGTAGTGAAATTAAACAAAATAAATCATTTAAGAAGTGAAATAGACTTCGATAAAATAACACATAATTCAATATTATTTTGTTTTCCGACCGAAACTAGGTTTTATAATGGAAACTGAGTTGCAGGGACTTCAATGATATTGATAGAACAAAAATTCTACAACACAGTACTAAATATATGTTATGAGTACATTCATACAAATAGATATTTAGCATAATATTAACTATGCCAGGTGTTATTGACATAAGCATATATATTATATCACTCTACTTACCAAAGCGACAGTACTGCCTGGCGCGACTTTGAAGCTAATATTGTTCAATATTAACTTCTCGGGTCCATACCCAAACGATACGTGTTTGAACTCAATACCGCCGCGACGGACGAGCAGATCAGGGGCGCCGACTAAGTCCTTTACGTCGTTATCAACACGCATTAAGTCGAACATGTTTTCCATGTCCACAAAATTTTTTTGGATAGCCCTAAAACAATATGGTCATAATAATAATATAGTGTTTCTAAGAGTTTTATTTAGACAATATGTTTAGATTAGGTGTAAATGAGTATAATACTATTGTGTGTTTAAATCATTAAATTTATTGGAGAATAGGATCTTCGCTTTATATATACATATATAAATAACTTAGAGCTCCTGCAGAATATCCATGATATATATTTTTAAGAATATCCTAGGACAATTCATACTGCGCCATCTAGTCACAAGTTAAGCAGAGCTTGTGTTGTGTAATAGACAACTAATATAAATACATAGATATATTATTTTGTAAATACATACATAGTATACATCTACATAGATGTATACTATGTAAACACGCAGACCATTACAAACAATCATACTCATTAAGAAAGGTTTGTACCGTCCGTGGAATCGAATCCGCGACCATCGGAAGTAAAGCAGTCCGCTTGACCACCGATTAATGGGTAAATGTAATGGTAATGGGCATTAAAATAATATATTGATGAGATTACAATAAATATAACACATAAATATTTATACGGGTAAAAATAATTGCCAACTCACCTATAATATGTACCAAACCAATTCAATGGCACATATAGCTGCACAATGTAGGAAGCGAACAGCACATAGTCGCCTACTGTCAGCTGGGATGTCTTCACCACCATAGAGATACAGAGCAGGGAGCCGGCCAGTAAACCTAATAATCAACTATATTTATAGCAGTGCCAATTCAGAATAGGTACGGTTTTAATGTATAATTAAATTAATAAATTTAGACATAAGGTAAAACAATACTAGACATATTTAAAAAAAGAATAAGATTTAAGTAAGTGACGCCTAAAATTCTCAACATATATAAGAATATCATTAAAAAGTTGAAAAACTACATTTATAGAGATTAGATATTGGAAAAAAATTAGTGACCACTAAATACAAAAATAATTATATTTACTCACCACTACAAATAACAATATTCTGAATAGTGTTGAGCATGTTGAGGGTGATTAAAGATCTGAATTCTTCTTTCTGTGAACACAAGATACAATGTGAACAATCAAAATAGTAATCATTCTATTTAAGTTGTTGATAAATTAACTCATAAGGGCCTCCGATCGATCCCCCGTCCAATTCAAATGGGAATCGAAACTACGACGGCCTAAGGATCGACCCCTAGCTGTGTCGTCAGACAAAAGTCGTATCCGTCAGTCAAAAGTTGGCCTCCAACCGCTCTAAAAGTCGTACCGCTGGTTTGTGTGCCACCTGCACTCGCTTCCTATCGTTCGATGAAAATGTAAAGGCCTGCTATGGTCAATAGCTTTAGAATAGTTCGCAAAATAATTCAGAAGGTAAGTGACATTAATCACCTGCAGTATCAGATATTCTACTGGTATAGTTTCTGCAATTTATGGACATTTATAATCGTTAATAAATACACAGTCTCATTTATAAAAAAAAAACTAATTTGATTAATTATTTTAATACACACCTGAAAATTCACAATGGCCTCTCTGTATGAAATTACTTCATATCCTTCAGCACCGTAATACTTGACGGTTTCGTAGTTAAGTAATGAATCAACAGAGCGCGCCTTCTGTTCATTGTCAGCGAGATTCATTCTACGTTGGTACTTCGTCCGCCATTCCGTTACCACTATTGTTGCAACTGAAACATAGATATGATTTATTTTAAAATATTACAATAATGCTATTGTACAATAGTATTAAGTAAATTATAATATTAACAGTGTATAGGCACGTGTATGCAAATTGTGTACTACGATAGAGTGCTATTACGAGACACAAGAATACACTATCACAACTTAACATTTGATAACTTCCAGATTTAGTCGTTAAAACCATTTATCAATGTTGTTATTGTGAACTGAACACTTAAAAAGCCCAAATTTCGCCAAGTATTTTAGAATCCAATGTAGTAGGGAACTCACAATCTTCTATCCACTACTACTACTACTACTGTTGTAGTAGGGCTCTCTTTGTGTTGAGATAATATGTTAACCAATAAATAATATGTGTGTTTGCAGAATTGTATTGCCTTTTAATATTTTTTACAATTACGTCAACGTACGTATTTGACATTAAAACTATATATTAAATCCGTAACGCTAAGGAGGTCGTATATACACCTAACAACTACTATATCTTATTTTAAATTAGATCCAATTAAGGATAGTAAACTAGTAGAAGAAAATCAATAGAATAGACACGACGGTCTCAGAGTGGTATAAAATAATAGTGTTATTAATTATTCAAAAAGCTACTTATACATCGAGAGCAAAGGATATCTAGCCGTAGAAATATAAATAACCTTTGAATCATATTCATTCCCTACTATGCACTTTAGAACACCGCATTTCTTTCGATGATCGTAGTGTAGATTCTCACACTACACAAACATTTCTATTCACGTGTACTTATCAGAGTAAGTATTTATAATGCATATTATATAAATGTTCATAAAATAAATATTTAAGTATTTTTATCAGTTGTTTAGTACCCATGGTACGAGCCCAGTTAGTATGGAATTGGATGGCATCGTGTGAATTATCATATATAACTATTTTATATAAGCAAAGAAGTAATATAGCAAACAGGTTGACTAGCAATAAATCCATCGACAGATTTTTAGAAAAATAAATACAATTACTCACTTATATACAAAACCATTGTGGAGAATACAATCAGTCCAAACCACATATTGAATTGGACAACGAAGTAGGCAATTGCCACGATTATGTCCACTATAGTTGGTGTGATAGAGAAGAGGATATATGAGAGCAAATTGTCTATCGAATCTGTTCCTCTGTCCATCACTCTAAGTACTTCACCGGTCTTGCGAGAGAGGTGCCACTTCAGAGGAAGATCATGAAGATGCTTGAATAGATCTAACTGTAAAAATGATGTTTAAATTTTATTAATAACTGTATAGTAATTACTATTTATATATTATAGCTGTTATCAAAACATTCGATTGATTTTTCAATTAATACATGAACTATCTTATTAGGTAAATATAAATATTGTGAGTAAATAATTCTTTGAAAATTAAATCACAGCATTGGCTAAATAGTATATATAAATAAAATTTCTAATATCTACATTACTAATAGTAGAAAATAGAGAAAGATATTAAAGATGAGTTAAAATAAGAAGTCTTATTTAAATTTTCTAGTATCATTCTTGCTAATTATATATTTTAGTTACACAAAATACATTTTTATGATATACATTTAAACGCTTGGATTTTGGCTGATAATTTTAGTGTTCATATATTAATAGTAGTCTCATTTCTTAAGATGTTGTGTATAAAAGAAAATGTAACATAAATCACTAATACTAAAACATTTTGTACCTGTAACTCCCTTGTAGTATACTGCTGCACTTTGATCCATAGAAATGATCGTAAATTATTGAGAAAACCCATGCCCCCTGTGCCGCCTCCCTGTAGGAACTTGAATAATACGTAGATAACTACTAGATCCCATCGGAAGTATAATGGAGGTATTGAAAGACTGTCCACTGTCGAAGAGAAAGATACATCAACATTAATAATTTTATTGTCAATATAGTATATATTGTGCAGTTAATTTGAATATTACTCACCTATTTTTTTACTATAAATAGGTACATAAAGATTCACAACGCGTCCTGCCAGTAGCGCCATAATACAGATTATGACGTTTATCTGCAGAAGAACACTCTTGCGGGGCCACAGGAAAGGTAACAACGTCCGCAATTTGCTAAATACATTGCGAAATGTTGACCTGTTGTCATCCTGAAATAATAAAAATATCGACCTGATATGAAATGAAAATCTTTACTATATATACTTTACTACTGTATTTTAATATATTGTTAATTTAAAATTTAATGAATATTTTGAATTAAATAAACAAAGGGAACAAATTCTTTCATATCCTGTCTATGTACATGTAATTGTACATAGACAGGATATATAAGTTCATAGTTTTTCGATAAGTGGCACATTTAGTGGAATTGTGACATAAAAATAGGTGGATGTGACATAATAATATTAAGAATCGTTTTATAATTATTGTGTAGGTATTATAATTTATTAAAAATAGTTCTGTTTATATTTAAATTACCTACTAATTTCCAGTTCACTTTGTTCACTCAATATGCCACATATATACTAACAAAATATTTAGAACATTACTAAATCAAAAGCTCACAAGTTTATATGAGTCATTAAAAAAATATTCCATTGCAGTTTACTATATCACAAATTAAATTTCACAATAGTCGGAGTAATATTATTTGTATCATCACACGTCATAAAGTAATAAATTAGTCCTTGTTTATATTTATTACTTTTAGTAATACTATACTTAATTTAGTCACCTTATCTTTAAATAATTTCTTTTCTCCATCTATCACGACATAATTTTGAAATGGACATGACATTATAACCTATAATAATTTATAAAATAAATAAATTATTGAAAATGACAATACTATACTGACATTGGTTATAAGCATGAGTTTTTGCTTAAATTATAGAAAGAAAAGAGGTATAATTCTTATACAAAATAATTTCAAATATCGCTATTTAGATTATAAGGTATAATTAATATAGCTAAAGGTATAATATTTATTATTATAGTATGAAGTAATATTGAAGTCGTCTTATTGAAGGTGTAATAAGAATGGATTATCTGTACTATAGTTCAACTGATTTCACAGTTAAGCTACTAGACCATAGATTACTAGTCAATAACGTAAGTCATGTTACTATAGTAATTAATATTTACAGTGCTAATATACAGTAAAAGATAAAGACCAAAAAAAAAAATTATATTTAACGAAATGTAATATTTCCTTCTTAGCGATAAGGATATCTATTATAAGTTCTTTACTTTGCTCAATCATAATAATAATAAAATATGTTTTTATCTTCTAGATGTATGATTTATATTTACTCTGAGACGAACAATAAAAGGTTTTCAATTAAATATAGTTTTTTTTCTTTGTAGATTGAATAACTTGTTTCTATTAATTTTTATTTGTATTTAAGTATATTATAGAATACGAACCCTGGTAGGGATGTGTGCGGTTGGGTCGTCGCTTTCAAGATACTCAAACTGATGCATGATGCCCGGCGCCTTCATGCCCAATACAAAGATTATCATGCACGACACATACCGACCGACGAATAACGACATTTCCAGCCGATCCTGAAGACTGGATAAAAAATAACAAATTTATAATTACCAAAATGTAGAAGACATTCTACATATATTTTCTAGTTACCGATTATTTTTCTCTAGAATCTCTTGAATGTGGCATATTTTATGTAAATGGACCTAGGAGTTCAGTAATGTATATGTATCTACCTTATCTACCTATGTGACACAAAACGCAGCATACATAATGGTCTCGACAGTTTACACACAATTTTACATGTGATGGTTGCGAGTTTAATTCAAATTGTACCTATATGTATAACTGTATGTATTGGTTGGGTGTTATCTATGTATGTATGTATTATAATTATATTTAACTTATTTAACAAAATGTAATCTGTTGTTTAGTTTCAACATACAAGTTTCTTGCTCATTCTTCTTGTGATGAGACAGCTTTCCGAACGAGTAGTAGATAAAAAAAAATTGTTATGACTATTTATATGTGCTTAAATTAAGTTTATTTGAATAAATAATTTTCTATTCTATTCTATTCTACCCATGGCACAAGTTCTGCTTAGTTTTGGACTAGATGTAATGGGTTGTTATGGGTGAAAAAAAATAGTTTTATTTATAGTAACTACTGCTACTATAACCGCTACCGCAGTTATAAGATATAAGAAAAATACATACAACTTTAAATTTTCACCCTTCTAGCATCAACCTCTCTTTTTTAACAGCGATTTTAATTTATATGGCAAAACAACGTTTGCCGCAACAGCTAGTTGATATATGAAATAAAAATAGACTTACTCTTTAAGATGCCACCACCATCCTTCCTTATTAAGATTTAAAAATGATAAATTTTCTGACACAAATATCAATGCCCAGAAGACCAACAGTACAAATCCGTGACCTCTGGGAGGGACGGATGGTAGCAGAAATCGCCTCTCGAGTATCGCCAGGTATGCTGACATTGGAAATACTATTAAGTTTATCACTACCGCTACAAGCTGAAAATAATAAAATATATATTTACATAAGTTATTGAAGCGAGAAAAAAGCACGACTGACATGTATTTTACACGTGATTGTAATGATTACTTCAGTAACTGAAGTGATGAGAGATTGATTGCAAACTATATTATGATGGTTCCAATTTTTTATTCCTTCCTGTACCTATATTAATGGCCACATGGACTCTCTTGGGAATGCCGTGCCTGAACTTGTCTAGTCTTCCTTTGATCGTTCCGAGTCATGGCAATCAAACTTGCATTTATAATAAACTAGCAAAAATTTAAGGATATTTGCTAAATATATCATTTAGCCATCTACAGCAAATATACGGAAAATGTGTTCATAAATAACAGTATATTAATAATGTTAATGACTCATTTCGATTCAGATGAAAAGCGGTATTTATAATAAAATAAAATAATCAAATGTAATAATAATACTGTACAGATTTTTATCTGTTAAAGCATATAAAAACATATGACTATATGAGAGATGTTTGCTTGAAATTTGTCAGCCTTTATTTTTTTGTGCAACTGGAATGGCAAAAGCTGACCTGTCATTTCTGAAATTAGGGAAACATATGTCCTTATGCAGACGCCTTTGTACAGAGTCTACCTCTAGTATCTATGAGTTGCCACAAATTCTGTATAGATATTGGTTTCCTATCCATATTCCTGTTTATATCCACAATTGATATCTATCGTATTATTATATAACAGTAAAATATATAATATGAATGGGAAAATATTGTGAACATCATTGTGTTCACATTTTTCTTTTCCTATGGGTATGATGACACCAAGGGTTTTAAAAGTATCATCTACAATATTTATCATAATTATAACAAAATATAAAAACCTCAAAAGTACACTGCTGTCTGACCTTATAAAAGTATAAATTGTTATGGTATCTTACAAAGAGCACCCCAAGATTATTGTAACATACATACCATATAGCCATATATATGTCCCGCTTTAAATACAAATGCTTGTAAAACAAATCTTATCACTGCTAATACAGGTACAAGTAGTGTAAAGCATAACTGAGTAACAAACATCCGAGATGGACGAACATCCATGACTTCTGTTGCATATCTGTAAAATAATAGTATCATTTATTACACATATGGGATGACTGTAATTAAAGTTAAACTTTGTACACAGCTTCTACTTTATATAGCATATATTCCTACACAACTTATTTTTATGCTCCATATCACTAATTTAGATTGACAAAACAGTTAAAGGCTTTTATTGTATAATTAAATAGATAGATAAAGATTTTTCTTAATGGATGAATATGAAATGGTGCATGTGCCTGTAATAATAGTATACACTGGCAAGGCACTGATGGAGGATGATAATATGAGGATGTAGTCGTATCAATTGGTACATTGCAGTAAATTCACCATGAATAAATGATGGGTTCCAGAGCGGATTATGTGGTTGACTTGAAAAGATGTTGCTGGCAATAGGGCCACAAATTCCCATTGCTAACAATCTAAATAATCTCTCTCCCAAACTACATATAGGTAAGTAATTATAATGCCAATCCTATACATTGCACTCATTATTTTAGATCTGAATAATGTTGCTGTCTTTGGATATTACATCATGTAGTATAGTTACATACAGAAGCATTGTACATTAATCATTTATCTTTATGTGAATGAATAGTGAAAGACTGTCTGCCACATAAGAAAATAATAAATAAATTCTTAGTAGATTCCTAACCATATTTTTTACTATAAGAAACACCTTAGACTTTCATATTGTCAATACATATTGAAAGCAATAAAATAACATTTAACAATATTATAATTTACAATGTTACTGAATTATTACTGCAAAATAATTGTGTAGGTAAAGTGGAAAAAATATATTAAATCAATCAGGCATAAGCTGCTATAGATGTCTCTATGATCTGCGAAAATAGATCCATCAATGAGAGGTATATACAAGATAGAGGTAACTGTATCGTGTACCTCATTAGGAACGATTCAAGATTCAATGTAAATGTGTAGGTATAATATCGTTAGCCGAACTCTGTAAAGACTTAATCCATTATGTAGTTTATTTTACATAGCCTATTTTTTTTAATGGACTATAAGATACATGAATCAAAAGATCATTTTGACTTTTTTATGGAATTCTTATAAACTTATAAATTCCGCTTATATATAATCATATATATTTTATATGTATAATTAATGAAAATATAACTGTTAGGGTTGTTACTTTTTTATACCTCTAAGTATACGAAAAAATATTTTTTTGTATTATGGACAATTTTTTATTTATTTATAATGTTACATTGCCTAAATTTTCACCCGTCTTTCACCAACCCCTATTTTTAATAGCGATATTCTTACAAATATTATAAATGCTAAAGTAACTCAGTCTGTCTGTTTGTCTCGCTTTCACGCCAAAACTACTGAACTGATTTAATTGAAATAGACAGATAATGTAGACCCTGAGAAAGGCTACTTTTTAATGCGAAAAAGTATTGAAAGGGGAAATGAAAGGCTATATGAGGATAATTTTTTTGAACAATGTGTAACGGGGCCAACACGTTATTTAGTCGAAATTGTGTATATTACAATAAAATTTAACGAGAAAATATTATAATGATGTCACTGGGACACTCATTGCCTTACTACTATATCGTCCGTTAGTCGCGAACTTTCTGGAAACACGAGAGGCGCGCTCCTGACGAGTCTCACGGCGCCGCAGATACTATACATAAAACATTGAGATATGCCATGATCCACCCATATCTCACCTAGAGTTACATTTGGAGGGCAGTACCCCATGGTAGCTGAAATAAACATGAATAATAACAATTAAATATTAACTTTACATGATTCACATTTTAGTAGCTGTGTTACCATTGACTGGTTTTCTATCAAATCCAATGAAATAATTTGTTTTTAAGTTACCTACATTAGAATATAATTTTTTAAATGTATGAGATTATGAAAGAAATATATAAAAAAATAAAAAGATATGGTATCCCTGTCCCCATACTACAATCTATTACCACATATCCATTTATTTATCAAAACATAATTTATGATAACATAATAAAGTATTTTAAATTAAAAAGGTAGTATAACCCAAGTCTTTATTGTCTCTTTCTGAAAGGAGGGGAATTTAATATCTTTACATAAAGCTAACTATTTAATAAAAAAATATTTTTACCAATTGAAATAGTAAGTTGTATTAAGATGTATTATCTGAATTACACAGTTCAGTTTGATAGCTATTAGACAGAAATAGATATTTATAAATTAAGAAAAATATCGATGATACAGATTAGTCATTCATAAATGACAGTAATAACAAGTGGATGTTTACAGTTACATACTTTGATTACAATGAGTTGCATAATATGACACAATTTAGGATATTAAAGTATTTATAACAATATCACAGAGTATATGTCCAATATATAAATAGATACTCCAAGATTAGATAAAATTATTTATTCTTAAAAAGTATAAAATTTCTAAACTGTTTTCTAGACATTGTAAAATTGTAAATAGTTCAGTTTTTGCTATACTTGCAGAGAAATAATGACATTAAATTAGTAAGGTACATAAATCGGCATGTTGTACAATTAAACACATAAAAGTCTTAATCTATTCAATATTAATTTCAATACAGTTTGTTGTTATATATAGTTATGAACTTTAGTAAAATAAACCATTAAAAACTTACCATGCGGGCCAATATATATATATAATTCGTAAAGTATTAAATCAGACTGGTTTCAGCTAATATATTATACCACCGGTATACAAGCATGAACAAACTGTGATGTTAATCTTCTATATGAAAGACTATCAAAATACCACAATCATCAAATAAAATGAACATAATTCATCAATCAAATAAAATAAATGTTGACAATATTGAAAATAGTAATGACATTTTGACTGACTTACTGACTGACTTCAAATGACAAAAAACCTTTTTTCCTACTACTATTTGATAATACTTAATGAGTAATGTTAATATAATATGTTACTACAATTTGCACTTAATATATAATACAAAATGACAAAAATAAATAGATATAATATGCTTTATTTGTAACATACGATGAAGAAAAGACATAAATAACATAATTAAGAACACATGTATAAACAATAAGGCGGCCTTATTGCTGAGAGTAGTCTTTACAAAGCAACCTTAGGAAAACGAAAATTAATTCGAATTGATATATCTATATCTAAATTGTACAATGGCTCAATTTTTTTCAAATATTATACAATTGCTCATAATTCAAATTGGCATTAACACATCTCGATTGTGGATAACGTTGAATAGAAAACAAGTACGATCAAATCTAAGAAAATGTTATTACTGTAAATACCATTTTAATATTTTAGCTTTTGCAAAATATCCAAACGTCTCGAATATGATTGGCTAACTCGAAGTTATGCCTGTGTGCGATTATGAATGTCACACTATGTCACACTGATATAATAGGTATAGTAAAATTTGCTGATGTGTGAAAAGTCTGTAGTAGTGTGTACAAACCGAGTGACGGGAGGTGGTGTACGGGTTTCCGCTATCTGTAAATGTAATTTTTACTAATTTACAATTACAAGTGTCCGTGATAATCTTTGTGAATGATTAGTGTAATTAATTACTTTTTTAACTATGTATTACTAAGTTTATCTGTGGTCCTAACTGGGTTCTAAGGCTCTTAATATGTAAATCATCAGCATGTGTCACCATTCATCAACAAATTTATAGTGAAACAGTGGACAGTCGTCATGTGAGGGACGTTATGACTATTACTTAAAAATCAATCAAAGTTACTTGGTGTTTGTTTTGTGGACAAGTGCTATTTATTATTGGCCCGGTGGAGGTGATAAATTCAGTCTCAAAATGGCGGATCTCGAGGCTGTGCTGGCAGATGTCAGCTATTTGATGGCTATGGAGAAGTCGAAATGTACACCAGCAGCGAGGGCTAGCAAAAAAATTATTTTGCCAGATCCAAGGTATATCGTTCTTGTATGGCATCATATACTTTTTTAAATTTAGGCCCGAATTTCCCGTGTTTACAAAAGCTAGAAAATACAACAAAATCACTAAATTTGTAAATAAACATCGAAACAATGCAGTAGTAAAATACAATTATAACTGGGATCTAGATAACCTAGTCCTAATAGTGGTCGGATGTGCTAAAACTCATTAGAAATAGCTTTGTTGTGGTTGTTCTTATAGTTTTTTTTAATAATATGGGAATAGAAATATGAATTACATATCATGTTGATATTTATTTGACTACATATTTTTGTTTCATAAGGTAGTCAATAAAATAAAGGGTCATTTATCTCAGTATGATTTTATAGTAAATTGTGAATGGTATAGCTGCAGTAGATACCAAGTAGTTATATTGATGTTGATATTATACTTTTTTGACTACACATTGTTGTTGTATAACATAGTCAATAAAATAAAAGGTTGCTTGTCTCTTTATAAAAAACTTTATAGCAAATTGTGACTGGTGTAATTGCAGTTGGTACCTCAACTGGATAGGTATGTTGTTTTACTTTTAGTGTGACATTTAATAAATAATCTGGGCATTTCTTTTTATCCAAATTAATCAAATATAAATTAGATATGAATTATAATAGATACTTATTTATGAAATCTGATTTATTTCCCTCTATTTATTATATATATATATATATATAGTCTTTTTTTACTCTACTAAGGCTACTATTATGATATGGTTGTATTTTATATATTGCCAGCCCTTTATTACACCTTTGTCTGCACGACTGGATGTGGTGCTGCTTATATTTTGGTACTTTTTACTACTTAACACTGTATTCAGCAACATTCTTGCTGTCTGTAAATCTAAAAATACTAAGTACTTGATGAATCTGCTGTAGCAATGTTATGCAAAATGATTTCCTTGCAAATGTGAGATATTTTGAAATCCTACAGGTTGAGTATCAGATGATATTATTTACAGTCAATTCTATCACATAACATGTACCAAGTGGCTTGCTTTGTAAGCTGTATTTTATGTTTGGATGGTACATGGCAGTGAATTTACAGTATGTAGGCATAACACCTTAGTTCTCTAGACTGGAATAATGAAAAGGTAATCCTGCTGATAACTGCTCAATAGTTTGAATTTTGAGGACCAACATTTCCATCCATTTTTACATTGTTTATATGATTTGCCTATCAAACCTATGATTATTTATATTATATATGCCCCAACAGAATCCTATATAGATAATGCTATTTGTATTACTTATAAATTGACTCCCTCAGGTATGAAATGATTAGATTACATAGCTATATATTTATATTATAGATTTGCAAAAGTATAATATCATATGAAAGAAAGAATCTATATAAAACTTTTTCTATTAAGTCTACTGATTAGTAAAAAATTAATATTTTTTGATTTCTTACACTAAGTAGTAATTTTAATTTACATTACAATTATAAGTATAGTTATTATTAGAAAAACTATAATAATTATCATTGTCATATAATGATAACTAATTAATCAGTGGTCTGTCTAGGTGGTGTTGGGTATAATTAATTTACTGCTAATACCAAAATCTTAATTTGTTGTGTCCGTTGTAGGAAAAATATTTAGGTACATAATATAAACATAATCTATAGATATAAATAAAATTGGAGTGTCTGTTTGTAATATTGAAATAACGGGTTTTACATGCATATGATAGATATATAAATACGGTACATAAACCAAAATATTTTTTTTACAATTTTTGTCTGTCTGTCTGTCAGTCTATTTGTTCGGGCTAATCTCTGAAATGGCTAGACTGATTTTAACCGGACTTTTTTGGCAGGTAACTGATGTAATAAGTAGTAACTTAGGCTACATTTATTTTAGAAAAATCTTTTATTTTAGTAAAATTAAGTTAAATTCCACACGGACGAAGTCGAGGGTACAGCTAGTATATTCTATAATTCGTAATATATTCGAAAAATAATACTTCATTTATATTAGATATGAGGTAAAACTACCTTATATTTAATTCTTATGGTCTGTGGATATTTGTAAATCTTGAATAAAAAATCAGTTTTGGCGATTGGTTTAGAGAATGACACTTCAGAATCAATCCCATTGTTTGTTTTGACTGTATTTGCATGATGGTCAGTCAGTATATGAGTAAGAGGGGTATTTACGCAAGCTTGATGGCAGTAAGGTTAAATGTCACATCCTTAGCTTATCTATCACGTTCTACTATATTATACTACTACTAGGATTATAAGTATTAAAGATTAGGATTTCAGTTTATTTGTTCTCTTTACATGTACTATATATATTTACACATTAAGTTGCTGGAATACCACGATTTCCTTGATATATGTATATATATCTATGATGTATGTATGCAAACGTAACGCAGGTCTGTGCGTATCGGCGTTTTAATATGCGTACACGTTGCGAATTTACGATGTTATAATTTACCTGGCCTATTCAGGATTGATGAAAGTTTTGGAGTGCCATCTGCATTCGCCCCCTGTTGTCCAGTGAATCTATAAATGCCAGCTGCTGCCAAATGCATTACAATAGGACTAAAAAAAAAGAAAAAAAACACGAGTCAATGTTAATTATGTTTTGAAAACTTGTCCAAATACTCTTTATAAGTATGCTTAACTTCATGATGATTTGTACAACAAACTCACACAATAATTGGCTATATGTACTCGTATATACTGCGTGAATTCCGATAAAAAATATATACCTATATGGATACGATCTATCTGTCTACCAAATTTTATTCTAATCCGCCCAGCCATAAGTATAATTAATCATATTTTATGTTATAAATATTGGATAATAAGTTCATGCTTATAATATTAGTCAGTAGGATAAAAATGACATTGTAAAGATTCTCGAAACCTCAACTTATATGAATGTAGTTGGAGAAGTAAGTATTTATTTTATTATTTATTGACTCACTTTTTCCAAGATATGTAATGTTTTATTTATGTTCACCTACATACCGCATACATGGACTAAAATAATAATGAATCAGAGGCTGCCATAACTGTCACCAACTTGCGTGATTTGAAATGAGTGCAAGTATCAAATAACACGCCAAATACGACCTACCGCCGACCCTGGGCCTGTTTGCAAGCACCAGCGGTGGAACACGAACTAGAAATAAAAAAAAAAGTGTGGATTAAATTCTAAAACAAAGACTTTTCTATTTACGTCCAAAATTGTTTAAAGGCTTTTAAAGCTCCAAAATTGTTAAGACTTTTGATACGTGGTGTCGAAAAACGCTGCTTTCTAGTAAGATTTGTTTTGTATATACCTACAAACAAGTCCTAGTAAGATTTGTTTTCTATATACCTACGCTGTCGGAGACAAAATTGCACACTTATTTAAGATTTGACTGTAAACTAAATTATCTATAGTAATTATTTGTTTTGTTTAAGTACATAAACAAAATAAAACAGATCATTCATTGCGTCTGTTCATAATGAAATACAAAATATCAAAGCCGCCCCGCAGAAGAAACCCACAGTTTCGTCTGAATTTTATTAGATAAATCCTGTTTCATTCATGTCCGTTTAATCCTTTAGTAGTGAAGGGTAAAAACGGATAGACTGATAGACATATTTTATTTATTTATTAAAACTTTAATGCACAAATAAAGGTGCATATGGCGGACATAACACCATAAGGTATTTTGTCCCATATTAATATACTAGGTGTTATGTCTGTACAAATTTTCATCCAGCTTTTACAGACTATTTTTTGAGCTAAAAGATACGCTACAAATACAACTTATCTTCATGTCAAATTTTATTAAGATCCTATTAGTAATTCATTTGTGTATCACACAGCCACTACTTTGCATTTATAGTGTAATATTAGTGTGGATAGATATTCAGTCAATCATAACAAACAACAAAAACATTAAATTCGATACGTACATTGTTTACTTAAACGTGGTGTAAAAACTAGTCAACAATTTTGGTAAATATTTTTAATAAAAAAACGTGTAAAACAATTCCTAATAGTTGTTTATTCAGAATTAGAATCAGCTGCGGATCACTGACGTTATAAGCCGAATGGGTAGATATGGACCTTATTACAATGCACTACGATAACGTCGTAACGCAAATTACAACTACATATTTCGTAAATTATGTTAAGGTCCCCTTGTGGTCGAAATTCGATATACTCATACACACATTACTTAAGTGTGCAAATATTTTCCAAAAAGGGTTACGTATCAATTATTACTATTATTTATATTAGGAAGTAATATATTGTTTAGTAATATATTTATTGTAAATTTGTATTATATCTTTTGCCTTACGCGTATCTGTTCTCATTAGAGATTTTATTACTGAAAATTTAATGGTTTCTACAGTTTAAAAGTTGTTATGCCAAATGGGACGGCTATCAAACAGAAACGGTCCATATTATAATGTGACGACGTCCACATTGCCGTTCACGTATCTGTACAATGATTACCACTTACCATCAGGTGGCCGTCAGATTAATTGCCATTTCAAAAGATATCACTACCTGTCTGATAACATACATACTGTATCAGTACCTGTAGAAATGTAAAATAAAATCTGGCAAAAAATAGAGGAATCGTTTCTGGAACATACCTAAACTAAACATTCCACAATCAACTTTGCTTTGCAATTATCTCAATATTTAAGCTAAATAAGTTCAGTCGAGGAAAGTTAAAAAAGAGAAAACATGTTTTTATTTACATTGGCATGATAATGTACGATTTTTCTGAAAATAATGTCAGGATTCTTTCATAGCAAAATAAATCCGGTTGCATGGAACAGATTTTGAATTTCTATCTACGATAAATCCTATATCGTCCATTGGCGATATTGTAAATTTCTACAGTCATATCCTGTTATAATATCATACATCCTATTACAAATATGTAAATTATGATGACGCCCAAAAAATGGAAAATATTATGCATAGAAATGAGTTTAATTAAAGACATCGGGAACATTATATCTACTAGGTGTTATTCGGAACTTTGCTTCCCGGCTACGACCGTCTTCGTAATACAATATCTTCTCGTCAAATCTTATTAGTATTTCTAGTCGTCAATAACTAACGGACACATACTTTCGCATTTAAAATATTAGTATGGATGAATGGATAAATCTGAATGAGAGTAAGAGGATAATAAAGGCAAAATAATTATCCCTAGAATGTATATATTTTATTATGAATTATTAATCTACAAAGTATGAAGAAGAATTCTTGACAAACAAGCTATAACCCATAGCTTCGGGTTATAGAGGTCATAAAAAAAGTCCAAATGTACGTAGTTGTACATAAAAAAATATCTTGTTGGTCGTCACAAAGTAAACAAAACGATAAAACAACATTTTAACTCACTGTGCCATGTATTACCATTATAATGCCTACACATAATACATAGGTATTTGATAATCATGAACTATATATATTGTTTTTATTTTGTTTCAGTGTTCGGAGTGTAATGCATAAGTATATGGAGAAAAAGAATGAAGTTAACTTTGACAAAATATTTAATCAAGTATTAGGTAAGTTCCTACAGTAAAATACCTGTATCTATTTTTATGCTGTACCTTAAGGTAGACACAGTGAACCAAAACTGAGAGTATTAGCCCTATATCATTAACTTGTAATTCTAGAGATTCAACTAGATTTATATCTTGAGACAGTTTAGTTTTAACTTTTTCTTCAAATTCAAGTACTTTTGAAACAAAAAAAATGGGGAGTCTCAACGGAATCGGTTTACAGATAAAATGTTAAATGCATGCTAGCAATGCACGACAATGGTTTCTAACACTGGTGGAAAGCATTCCTTGTGAATTTACCAGGTTGTTGAGCTAACTGCAGGTCAGTTCACTTCATGATCGTCTTGTCATACTGCGAGTACAACATTCCAAAATCCATTACAAAAGTTTGCGACCGGTAACCCCGTGATGGTCGATAGTATCTACTGTATACTGTTACTAAAGTCATCAGTCATCACCCACGAATACAAAAAAGGGTAAAATAAATAAAACCGTCAAGTTGGTATCTGTTCGGGGTGATAAAGTGCAGTGATACAAATAATTCAGTTAATTTACGTCGTCTTCGAAGAATAATAAGTGACTATTGTATCGCGATTTTTCTTGGTTAATCTATTCTCGATAGTCGCAAAAACTTATTATAATCAAGATCCAAAAATTATTATATAATAACACTGTTATTATATAATAATTTTTGGATCGTTGTTGTCTAACATTTAGGGGGATGAAAAATAGATGTTGGCCGATTCTCAGACGTACTCAATACGCTCACAAAATTTCATGAGAATCGGTCAAGCCGTTTCGGAGGAGTATGGGAACGAAAACTGTGACACGAGAATTTTATATATAAGATGATCGTTCTCCAGCCTACTTGTGACCACGTTTTATGAAACAAAAAAAAAATACCTAGCTTTACGTTTTACGCCATGCGATGTATTTTTTTTTAATTGATGTTACAGAATTTGTTTAAAGACCAATTGGATCTTCTGTTGTTTAGGTGAACAATATTAACATTATAAAATGTTTCATAATGACTATGTGTGTACAATAACGTGTGAAAAAAGTAACGTCTCAAAGCGTCTTTAAAACAGGACTAACGTGAAGCCTAGATTACTCTCGAGAAATCACAATTCCATTGAACTATGTTGAAAGATGTATAGTCTTGTGTAAACAGAAGGGCCTTTTGAGACGCTCTTTTCATGTCGATTACGCTTCAGCTTTAACAACTCGTTCACAGATTGAAGTAGCGCCTTTTACCGCTTACGTACCGTAACGGCAATTAGCTTTTTATTAGCTTGCACACGTTTGTGTTTAGTGTTTGTCTAGATGTTTCTTTGAACGAGCACTCCGCTTTGTTTCTTGAATCAAAGTATCTCACATGAAGAAGCTTTGCACAAACATATTAATATTAGGATTTATTTTTACCTCAACTCAAAAAAGTAGTTTTAAATATTTTTGCCAACGTAGAGCCGACGTTCCACAGGGGAGCAATTTGATTTTGAAGGAGGACAATTAAAAAATTGATTATATTAAAATTATATCGAACTGTTTCATGAACAATTTCATAGTATTTTCTTTATGCATGTTACGTAGGAAGAAGGGGGGGAGGGGGTGGGGGCAGAAAGGTCAATGTGGGACATGGCACAAGAAAAGTTGGGGGAGCACTGATTTAGATTATAATAATTGGAGATATGTGTCAATCTATCCTCTGTCATGTAATAAAAGGCCCTTTGTTAAAGTATTCGGTGAATTACAAATATTCAAAATAGATATTTGTCAAAGGCAACTTTGACAAATATCTATTTTGAATATTACAACTTTCCTAAATCGATTTCAAGAAATCGGTACTGACGCTTCTTAAAATAACAGATATTCACACAGATAGTTTCTAGCAAGAATAAGTGGGAGTTAAAGCAACATTCTATTGCACAACTCATAGAATTCTACGAGTCATTACTTTTTATTCTTTTAGTTGTTATTTTCAAATTGCTTCTTTTTGTTAACGTGAGTAAAATAAAGAGAAACTGCCAGTGTGTGGATTACTAGAGTGATCTAGATAACTTTAATTCAGGATCACTTTCGCAACAACTTTCTTGTCGGGATTTGTATCGTAAACAAGATTAAACGTGAGCTGCGCGAAGCAAGGCAAGTCGTTTGCGCACGCACGCCTCCGATTTATTGCCGCCCTGCGTACAATTGCTCACAGTAGGGTTGTCTATATATAAAAGCAATTGTCAGGAGTAGCTGCATAGATGCCAGGCCTGATAATATCTGACTCCTTATATATATCTTTATGGTAATAGCATCCTGATGTGCTATAAGATAATGAATGATCTTAACGGGTACTATAGTTTATATTATGTGAGAAGCATTTACAAAAATAGTTCTAGCAACCCTAGCTTTACCAATAATGAAGTTACCTCATGTCGCTAAGGATAATGCTCCACTCTATCCAATTCTCTTCGGATGTGTGGAACGAAGTATATTTCAACTGAAACATTATCTTGATGAAATGCATTATGGAATTGCATGCAAAAGTCATTTGCTGTATTTCAGTAGATTTAACGTGAACACAACATTATACGGCGTGGCTTCAATGGGATAATCTAAATTGAGTATATCACACATACGTACGGAATATTGGTTTCCGTTATATGACACCATGTAATATGCTCCTAAGCCATCTGAATTTCCATTACTGTCTCTATTCACTTCTAGCTGATGTTTTATTAAAATTTACTTTTGGCCTTAAAACAGCATGATCTCACGGCTCTTGATTACTTTAGTCTTGATTGCTTTTTTTTACACAAATGGTTTTATTGTACTTCATCGCATACGAGTTAATGTTAGCTAGTTACACTGTTATATAAGGAAATAGTTTCATGGCCTTGTTAATAACCTCATTACATGCTAGATCAATTACAGTTTCATGTAAGTAGGCAAAAATTCATAGTCGTCTGGATTTACAAGTTTAAAATTGTAGTCAGTTTGAGTATATGTGTGGGTTTGGCATATGCGATCCAAATTACTTTCAATAGTTTATGTCAAACATGTGTCAATTCCAAGCATTTGATGTTTTCCAGTAGCCATGCTGTTACTACTGTTCGTAGAAAAGCACTTTGTATGAGGGGGGTGATACAATTAAAACTTACGAAAATGAATTTAAAATTTCATCTTTAAATGTTTTTATTAACCGACTTAGCATAAAAGAGTGGAGCCACTGTCAATTACAGTGTATAAATATGAAAATTTATTACCATCGTTATTATATACGATTATGATGTTTTTTATTCCTTTGCATTTTGCAATATCCTGATTTTGTGAAGATTGAAGTCGGATTGCTCTGTGGAACAAAATATACAAGACATTATTATTTTTAATGTAGGCGTTATTTCATTGAGCCACGACTGGTACAACGTTGTTATGAATAACTGTTAGTGTTTATTATTAATGACGCTAAAGAGGCAAATACGTCGTGGAAATCTGTACTCATACATTTCAAAATATATGACGTATATATATATCGTGTACGCAAATTTTAGTTCGACAAATGTAAAATTTAATGTAACGGTTAGTCAATAATTTAAACCTTTTTTTTTCTACAAAGAGAACCGATTTAATTCCTATCAAAAAATACGGGTTGAACTGTGTAGAAACCTGAAATACTGAACCCATTAAAAATGAATTATTGTAATGGGTTCAGAATTTAACAAAATATATCACTATCACACTGAAATACAGCAGAATTTACAATCATTTCTATTTTATGATTGGTTGAAAAATATACTTGCTGATCAACCAAGAAAATAATATTAGGGAGTAATGTCACGTTCAGAACATGATATAAGCACAACGAAGAAGTACAGTTCTCTTATCGGATCAGACCATTAATCACGATGAACATTCAATGAATATTCAATAGTCTACATTTTTATTTTGTTAAAACCATGGTTTTAAAGAAACCTTCATGATTCTTTTCAAATTGCTGCCAAAAGAGGAGGTTCTCCAATCGTCGGTATTTTTTACGTGCATGACACCCGATGTTTTTGTCTAAACTGTATGATTTGCTATTGATTGCGAATTATCCCAGATTTTTTTGTGGAACAATATTTACCTAATTAAGGTCAGTAAGATCAAATGCTATAATGTTCAGACGCGGAAAATTATTTATTTCGCGGATCATTTCCTTAATCTCAGGAAAGCATACATGTAACATGTGATACTACGTATCCTTATTAATTATCCAAAGAGTAGTGTTAATGTCAGTATTATTTGTCAAACCGAATTTGAAGTAATTCTGTGTTAAGTTTTATTTCGTCGATTTGTATTATGACAATTCTTAATATTCGGTAAGACTGTGAGAGATCATTATTGTGGAGATTTCTATATTATGAATTGGCGGACTTTTTTCGGTGGCGTCAATGAAGCTTGCGCTCGTGAATTGGTTTTGATTTATGAGGTCGACTGGCTCATGATCGGAATTAATGTTATGTTTATTACGTTACATATACATGAGCACAGCTTCTCGCAATCTCAGATTTTTTTTGAGATCTTCGCTTGTTTCTGACATGCTATGATCCTTGTGAGATTCTAGTGCATATGTGGTAAATGCATTATACTTTGGATATTCTAAAGCCCGTTAAAGATGTCTACTTACTAGGTCTAAAACTAAGTTTTGGAAAAGCGTTACTGCTTTCAGAAACTTATTTCCGTCAGCCTTTGCGTTAATCACGGTCTTTCCTTAACATTGGTTTTAAAGGATATTTGTAGCATTGAATCGGTTAGTGATTAATATGCTATAAAATAAATTTTACTATTTGTGGTTGTTGTTAGTATTGAGTTTGAGGAAATATGACAGTTTTATATTATATGATTGCAATATTTAATTGATACTAATTATAATTAATATTACTAATAATAGAATTTTATACAAAAATTATAATGGCTTAAACATATTTCACTTGTTTAGTATATTTTTCTTTAAGGCTATAATTGAACTTCGTACAGGTAATGTGGAGCTATGTTTGTTTTGTGTGTAAATTGCTGTTATTGATTTAAATGAAATGGACCTTTGAATATAAAAGCGTCTGTGGACGACACGATCTGAGACCTGATCTGTCGTGGTTGAGGTCTTTCCTTCTTTCTACAGGGAAACTGTCTTGGAACTAGAGCTTTACTATCGTAATATATTGACCATAGTCATCGTCGTTCTTTTCTAATGAATTCGCTAATCATAGCGAATAAAGTAAAGAAAGTACAAAATCGAAACAGACTATCAAGTCTAACTGTTTCGATGTTGTACTTTCTTCTATGATTCCTCACTGGTAATCAGCCTGCGTAAAACGTTACGTGCAGGCGTGTGCACCATTCTATTACTATTATCTAAATCGTCTCACGTGTCTCCCTTTGACAGGACTCGACGAATCGGCCACACGTGTCGATAGTAAAACCGTGTTGTAAATTGATTTAAATTTATTGTAGGATGATTAAGAATTGGACATACTTATTGAACTAATTGAATACAGTCTTAAAGTACTTAGCTTATTAACGAAAATATAGACATAGGAACTAAATATTAACTTAATTTAAGAAATAGATCTAGTTAATATATTACTACGATAAAAGTTGACAATATCACATTTTATTTGAGTTATAATAATATTATTAATGATATTCATACAACACATACACAGTTTGCGAATCGGAGATAGGATTTTGAAAATTTTACTTTAAAACAATTAGTGATTTTTGTAAGTTATTTATAAAACTAAAGTCATTTTATCATTTAATCACTTAAACTACATTATGATACGATCTGAATCAATTTCATATTGTAGAAAGTCTAAAAATCCGATATAGCGGCAAAGCTCCCGAGCGAGTTACAAACCCAATTTACGAAGGCTCCACTTCCACTTGCAGTAAATAACTTTATCGACTGCACTGGACATTGTACAAAGTATGTAGGGCAAAGATTTTATTTGAACCGTGTATGTATGTCACGCACGTATTCTGAGGCTACGTATAGAACTTGTGGAATATGTTATTCAAATCTCCAAGTGCGCAGTATAGGTAAGTAAGATCAAGTGATATACGTATAGCCAGGATTCAGACTAACCATAAAAGAGATTATTCAGGTTTATCTAATAGAGAAAGGAAAGTAGGAAATAAAACGTAACACGACGACATTCTTTTGATTCTACTTCAAAAGCTACAGCTAGTTCAGTAATGTATATATAAATACTACCGTTATGTTGGTAGTATTTATATATACGAATACAATTCAGTATATATAGGAAACGTATAGTACGTTACCTATATGTACTGAATTGTATGAAATAGACATCGTCTTACGGATTTACAACGCAACATTATCAAATTTAATTATTTAAGTCAAAAAAGGTTTTAATAATTTTTATGATGTAACTCACTACCAGATACCAAAACTCTGAGGTACGGTACATTTTTAGGTTTTTATCAGGACGAAAGATTAAGGCTGAAAATATGTAGACCCACACGTATAACCACTGTTATGCAAGATGATGGCCGATACAATAATAATAAAATAATATTTTACGTTACCGTAAAATTTCAGTAAAGAGATTTTATAGAAATAGAATGAAAAATAGATGGAAACGTAGATCAGCAACAGCATCATCAGTAGGTTCAGAAAACGACCATAAATCAAATATAATTAAAATGTACTATTACTGGGTTTTCTTAAGACATCATACAGCGAATTTCGTAATGGTTACTATTTTTAATGTACTAGAATCCGGCCAAACAGAAATATAGGTGTTCTAATATCATTCATTGACTTTATACGAATGAAATTATTACAACTTAGGGATTTATTAAATTTTACGTAAAAATCTTTCATCATAAACTTAAAATAAAGTAATTTATTATAATATTAATAGTATTATTAAGTTTATTACGCAATAATATATATTAGAGCTACTTAACAACCACAGTAAAAATACCTACTCTATTAGTAACTACATTAGTCATTTATGGTTCGAATAATCCTATAGATAGTAATGTATTTCACGTAATTTTACTGAAATAAATTATTAACTATATGTATCGTGTAAAATCACTTATTTTTAAATAATGTATTCACAGAAATAAACAAAAGGCAGTGATAAAATAAGCAAAACATGTCTTATTTTGTAGTCCGTGCATGTTGTTTGTAATTGGACGATATTAAAAATCTATTAATAAATAACACGGAGAAGCAAAATAAACCTGCTTCTCTATGTTATTTATTAATGGTTTTTTTCAACAACTAAAGGTACCAGTTGAATGTTTTTGTTATATTCTGATACGCTGAGATTTTATGTTTTGGTTGACCACACAAAATGTTTTCATCAATAAGGGAATAGCAGATAAAATTTTATATCCGCTGAAACTGCACTAGTATCTACACAATAGCAGTGTATTTATAATATTTTAAAGTGATATATTACAGATATCAGCATTAACAGAAATTTGAATGTAAATATATATGTGGATAGGACTAATTATAAACAATTCGATACTTTATCTGTGCCAGTTGAAAAGTGATAAACTTTTATAGATACCAATGAGTAAAGCGAAATATATAGGTATCGGTTAAGTAAAATATAGGAAAAATAATTCGATATTTCTAACATTTTTAATAGATACCGATTTTAATATATCCAGGCAGTTGATATAAAACTAAAACCGTCCATTTAAATCTATCAATCTAGGAATGTAGTTGAGGTAGGAATGTATGGGAGAGATCCAACGTTTTTAATTTTTCAACACTTTTTTACGGAGACTAAAAATGTTTATCTTTGATTACTAGTGTTCAATTAAGTGTTTTTTTTATATGTTAATTTTAACTCAATATAGTCTTCAATCAGTTTTCGACAAGACTAGCACTAGAATAGGATTGCTATTTTGTTATATTTTTTGTCAAATTGTATATTAAATTATATATATAAAAATATGTTTTAGTCGAAAATTACTATTATCTTCTTAGTAAATTAATGTCGCTATGGCAAAAGCCTCAATCTTAGTTACCATAGAGGTGCCAATATACATATTGGTTGATAATATGATATTCAAACAGACTGTAAATATAAAAAATACTTATAATCAAAAATGATTATGGTGCTAACACGATTTACGTCATAAACGGCAAAGCGTGATGTTTGTAATTGTATGTATGTATATGTACTTTAGTGACGATGCTGGGCTCCATTGAATAGTAGCAGTGGAATTTGTCATTCAGATTACTTTGACGTAAGAGAGCGAGTCATGGCATTCGTCTTTGTAATTATGTGTTACAGCATTATAAATAAATTGTCTTTGACGTAATGATATTTATAATTACAGCTTGTAAATAAAATTAATTTAACGACATCCATTACTTAAAGCTTTTATTAATTAGAGCAAGAAAAAACAGCAGAATAAAATTGGAATAAGCATGAACTATTAAGTACTATTCGACCATAACTATATACGTATGTTTTTTAATTGTAATACTTATATTAAATACCTTAAATTACCATACTAATTAGAAAATACTTAATTAGTATGGTAGCAATGCGCTATTATACCCTATAAATTGCAAAACTAATTATTGAAATTGGTTTGGTATTGGCGAAGGTATCATGTAACGTAAAGTATTCAGACGAATTGACAACTTACTATTTTTGTAATTCGATTTAAAACTGTTCGCGAAGACAATCAGAGAAATAAAAATTGGAAGTACGAATGAGTAAACAACCGATACTCAACAAAAAAAAAAATGGAATAGAAATCGTATCCGGTGTTGGATGATTTAGGTTTTGGAATTGTTCCTTCGTTCGTATTTTAATTAATGTTGTTCGCTATTAAATAATATGTGTAATTTAGTTACTTTATATAGTTTATTTTTGTTTCAGGTTATTTATTATTTAAGGAATTTTGTGAACAAACGTCAGAAGAACCAGTGCCACAATTAAAATTTTATGAAGAGGTAAAATTCACAGTTTTTTCTATTGAAATTTTATAATTCTTTAAGTCTATAATCATAATAATATTTTAACTGCAAGCTACTGAGTAACTATTCAAATACTTGTAAATAACCTTTTTATTAGGTAGTAATATTAAAATTATTTGGTTTATTTTAAAAAAATATGTGTTATCTACATAATTTTCTCGTGGAAAAACATTGAGAACCCCTTGTATTTTGGAAACGAATCAGTTCAGCGACATTCAGCATTGTTTAGAGACAATTGCATGTTTGTGGAGCAATGTAAATATTACCGTGTTTTCTGTTCCACAGATAAAGTTATATGAAAAACAAGAATGCCTAGATGAGAGGCGGCGGATCGCAAGAGACATTTATGACAATTTTATTATGAAAGAACTGTTAGCACATTCACATGTAAGTATAAATTATGAAGGTACCAAACAGTCTGTGGGCCTAATTATGAGAGGCTGACAACTTTCTTTTTCTTATTATTTGTATCAACACGTCTTATTACGTGCTTATTTATGATATGCTAGTGGCTCGCCGTGGTTTCGCTCTGGTGACATTTGTAAACCTACCTTAGAAATGAACAAACAACAGCAAAATTAAGTGCAGTCATATCGCCTCTGTCAGGGTGTTGCAACTTGTCACATTAAACATTTAGTTCATAGATATTAACATTGTTGTGCTTATACACAGTTATATATAGTAAACTCTATCTCATAACACTCTCGGATCACTCTGTCTACCTCGTAAAAACGCTTCAAAAGCTATTCTGTCCTTACACATAATCGCTACTTAATTCATTTTCATGGTTTGTGTCATGAGTCATGACATAAACTAAACTGTTTGTAATTTGGTTTTGATATTTTAAATTCGATCTTCGGTATTCATTTACAATTGACTCCGTTTATAGTCGCAATTTTCAGTTCATTCTTGTATAAGTAAAATTAATTAATAATTACATTTCTTAATTAGTTTGTATTTGCATTAGGGACATCCTGACTTTGACTATAATGATTAAGATTCCTAAAAGATAAAACTACTAGAGTATACAAAATATGATGTTATAGAACCTTATCCAGCACTTTTGAAACAGATTCTATTTAACTGTTCAGCGTACGTACTATTTGAGTCTGAGTTAAAAACAGCCTCTCAAATGGCTGTAGATACTATTAATAGTTAAATTATCAGTTACAATTGGTCTCATACGTCAATTGTTAACAATAGAGTAACATAATCTAGCAGCAGGATAATTACAAATAATTCGAAACTCATTCATTGCATAAGTATGTTTACTTAGTGGCTAGTTACCAATGAATCAAGGGCCATGCTGTGCATCCGGCCGAAGCGACGGTTGTTTGTATAATGAACCTCGTTAGTGGACTCTTGGCTTGGTGCCCGCTCCGTCTGAACCTTCGATAACAATCATAGCCAATTCTCTCAAGCTATACATAACATACTTATACAGTAATCTAAAAAGTATTATGGAACTATCATTACATAGTATAAAACAAAGTCGCTGACGCTGTCTGTCCGTCCCTATTTATGTTTAAATCTTTAAAAGTACGCAACGGATTTTGAAGCGGTTTCTTTAATAAATAGAGTGATTCAAGAGGAGTTTATATATATAATACATGTACACCCGTGCGGAGCCGGGGCGAGTAGCTAGTAATGTATAAACATAGCACTCAGTTTTCGCTGAGCAGATCTTTCATTTTAAGGAGTTACACCAGCAGTTGTATATATACACTACCACAGCTGTATAGTGTAAAATCGATGTGATTTCACTACAAAAGGCGATCTAGAAACGAATGTTCATAGAATTGGTCCCTGATATTAGAGTCATTTCTTTAAAGGGCGTTAAGTAAACTTAACCTTAGGCTAAAAGAACATTTCAAGAGTATGGTAGAAAATTGTTCATGAATGTACTATAGTTTTGTACGAGTTTGGAACGCTTGGTGATTGTCTATATTTGTACTAAATGAAAATCGAAGGTCTATTGGCAGATTGAATGAAATTTCTTGATTGATGAACTTTAACTTAATGGTGTAATTAGAATAAGGAAACGTATTGAATGTCATTATACGTTTATTGACGACGTACATCTATAGTATACGTCGGAAATCTATAACATTTGCATAGATTTAAAACTTTCCTCAGCAGTGATGACAATCTTATTGTATTCGAGTAAAATCTGCTATTATAAAATAAGTTATAGACGGTTAATTGAGCATAAAGAGGCTGTTCAAATCACGCGCAATGTATTTGTTGAATTTAAATGCTAGATAGCACATTACCTTGGCATATACTTTCTATCTCGATAATTGTTTTCTATTCTTAGCATAAATTTATTTTCAGTACACTATTAGTTGCAGTGATTCTAGGTGTATGTACGTACTAGTGTATATTTATATAGTTACGATAAGGCAAGCCATCAGCTATAGATCCATAGGATTTGTAGGTTACAAGTAATAAAGTTTGTGCATTAACTTGGTATTTTACTTTTAAGGGTTTTTTATTATACACTTGAATCAATATTTCAAATTTCAAGATATTTCATAGATTGACACTACTTATGTCGTTTATAATTATTTTAACATTTTTTATTACGTATACATTCAATATATTTTTACTTGAGTGTATATTATGAACCCCAGTAGGTACCGAACTGATATTTTTCTTTTTATTTTTGATGTTTCATTGATTTTTTATTAGAATGTAATGCAGATTCCAACTTTAGTTATGGAATGGATAAAATCATGCATTTTAAATGCACTCTGTAGTCTATAAACACCTGACGAGTAAAGCTTGAAGGTTTCTACGGATTGTCTTTAATATGTTTATATTGGATGACGTTGTTCTATATTTACACTTTCCTTTTATAGGTTTACTATCTGCGTCAAAATTTAGATTATCCGTAAAATCCTTCCAGCTGTGGTTATCGATCGAGCAGCTTTAAGTTTCCCTCGAGATTTTACTTCGGGTCCAACGAGGTACAACTATATATAATGAAACCCGATTGAAAAAACAAATTTTGTTTTAGTTTAATTTTTGCAAACTTAAGATAAAATCCTCATTATAATATGTGTTACTTTATTAAGATAAAGAAAAATATATGATCTTAATAACTTTATACATATATGTTATATATATTTATTTTGCACTGATACTATTTAGACAATTTTAGTTGTTATTGTATTTATGTTCTGAAATTAATAGGGGTTAAAATTAATATTGTACAGTTTATCTATTGTCTATTAATCCTAAAGAAAACAGAATACTGTAGTAGATAAAAGACAATCCATCACACTTCAGATTTATCTAGTGATTTAATTTGACAATGATAATTTCAATAGTTGTAAGTATAACTAGATTAGATTAAAAGTGGTTGATGGGCAATATCACTTAAAATTTTACGTCATTATAAATTGTGACCTATATCATATATACGAATCGTGTTCATTTAGTACATAAGATTTAATAATTAAATTAAATCGCTTTGTAGATTTCCTTATTACGTCACGTTTATTTTCAGGATTATTCAAAGGAGTGTGTAGCGCATGTACAAAAATATTTAATGAAGCATGAGGTGCCACCGAATCTATTTGAAGTACGTATTTATGATTTGTTTCGACTCGTTGATTAGGTGATAAGTTGGTGTCGTTGTATTGTTTTAGTCAATACAGTAAAAAATATTACATTTTCAATGAAACTATTCTTAGGCAGGCTTTGTACAATCGTCTGCTTTGGTACCATTGTCCCATCTATAATATATCACTCACCAAAAAGCTGGCTTTGTAAGATGCGTTTCGGTTGAAGGCTGAGGTAAGACAGGGAAATTATAGTGTACGGATACATGACACGTAGTTCCCCGGAATAGCAATGCATTAGTGGCGCCATAGGTGTCATATTATAACATGTTTTTTAACTATTCTGATGCTGTTGGCCACAGGTGGCCTTTACATAGTCGCCGAACGATATGGGGAGAGTACAGTTAACACTCCAAATTTGCGGATGGAATTATGGAGCGGATGGCCTTCTCCTAGTTGACGTATATGACTTTAATCTGTGGGCCTTTAATCACAGCTAAGAGTTTGAACATCGGCTTCGCTAAGGGTTCGAAACTCGGCTCAGGTCGTCGTAGTTTTGATCCCCGTGTGAAGTAGACTGGAGATCGATCGGAGCGGGAGAGGGAGGGTGTTAACACTTAATATAATTTGGGTCGTCAACTAATTTGTTTACCATTTCAATTACGTTAAAAAAATCTTATCCGTTCGAGTTAATGAAACATTTTTTGAGTATATATTATAGTAATTTTTCTAATATTATGAAACATTTTAATATTAATTGACACTGAAATGTATCAACGGATTTTAGTGAAATTTCGTATACAGGTTATGTCCAGATTGACTGAGGATAGTTTTTATTCCAGTTAAAATGCACAAAGCCGTGGGTTTAATTAAATTCAATTTGATTATTAGGAAAAAATGAATGTCGACCTACTTCACCTGTAATGGAAAAATAGTTAGGGCTTCATACAGTTTCAGTTAGTTTTAATTATATTTTTTTGTTCAGATATCACGTGTATTATTTATGTTACAGCCATATATTGAAGAAATATTCCAGCATCTTCGAGGAGAACCATTTAAAAATTTCTTAGAAAGGTAAGGTTATAAATAGAAATACTTAAATGGCTATATGCTGAAATTACAGAATATTTAATACGCTCATACCGAAATCTCGTAACATCTTATTGTCAGTGATTTTTTTAAAATCAATTCTCAATATATGTCAATTATTATTTGAAAGTGCTCTTGTAAAGAACTAAGACGTTTATGATTCAATACCTTTCACTCAATTTAGATTTCGGTATCAAAAATATTATTAGAAATTTCAAATAAAAAATATAAAGCATTTGTAATTTTAGTGTAACATTTTATTTACATACTTTTTCAATATCGATCAAAAATATTTTAATGTTACATAGTCATTTGTATTGAAAATTAATATATAGATATAATTGAGAAGACGTTACAATACCAAATATTGGTGAATAAATAAAATTAAATACTGAATGATTATTTTCTGAATTTCTTTGTTTCAGTGATAAATACACAAGGTTTTGTCAATGGAAAAACTTAGAATTAAATACACAACTAACAATGAACGATTTTAGTGTTCATCGAATTATCGGGCGAGGTGGTTTCGGCGAGGTGAGTATGTTTAATTGATGATATTTGTACTAAATGAAAAACTATGATATGAGAAAAACCTGTTAAAGATTTTATACAATTTGTTACTGTAATACTGGGAACATTGACTGCGAAACGCAAACAAGCTGACAGCTCATCTGGAAAGTCATAACATCATAATCGTCGGCTATAGACATAAATCCCACATACGTCGCTATTTGTGAGAATTAAGGTGTTACAGATTGCTCTAGTTTTCTTGTCATTTAAATCGCAACACAATAACGCCTGTGTTTATATTTCTCAGGAAAATTTATGTAAATCGACATTCTGCTGGGTGGTTTGAGTGGTGATAGGGAATTTACCGCAACAAGTAACAGGAAATTACGTGTTGAACGTTTTTTACTATTTTCGATTCCGGCTATTTAGGATTACTACAATAGTGGGAATTCTCAAAAAGTCTCTTGATTTTTTTTATATTTTATTTCTTTTTTGATAGATTTATGTTCTAATATTATAAATGCAATGCAATGTTTGTTTTTCTGTCTATCTGTTTGTTACATTTTCACAGTTATTGTTTATACATGTTTCGATGTTCATATTACAGTAGTTTTTAGATACATATAAAACTAGCCTATGTCCATCCTCGTGAAAGAATCTCATTAATCAAGTCTTTCATTATTAACCGTTCAGTGTTCAGTCATTTAGTGGTGAAAAGGTAACAAATAGCCCTCGCAGTTATAATTTTAGTTGGAAATTTGTTGCCGTGACAGTTATGCTACTCGACTTATATCTATGGATATCTCGCGGTCACTGTATGCACATCTGCATATGCATATTAATAAACTTGAAACAATGAAACTGTCAACTTCTGTGTACTTTCTGTCTGTATTACCTTGAGTAACGATAGGAAGGTACTTTATTTTTAGTACTGATATGTATATTACAGTATCTTGTAAAAGTAAGAAAATCCCTTATCTGTACCTGAAGCTCGTAATATTTTGCGAGCAATGTCGATTAACGAATGCGACATAAAATTTCATCTTGTACACAGGTATATGGGTGTCGGAAGGCAGACACGGGCAAAATGTACGCGATGAAGTGCCTCGACAAGAAGCGCATCAAGATGAAGCAGGGCGAGACACTCGCACTCAACGAGCGGATTATGCTCTCTCTAGTCAGTACCGGGGTGAGTGCTGTTCAATTTTATATCTTTCTTAACAGACTACAAATAATGGCTGATATTCTCAATATTTGTTGTTATTTTTTTAAACCGCATACTTTGTTACATTATCATCTGATGACGATGAAACATGTTTGTTACATTGAAGACTTTTTTGTAGTAGATACTAAATTATTGTATTTTTTCGACAATAAGAGAATAGTATGAATGTGATGTATCTACTAGCTGTTGCTAGCGGCTTCATCTGCACAAAATTTCATCTCCTGTTACACTCCTTCCACATTAGTTCTTGAGATAAAAGATAGTCTATGTCCGTTTATGTGACAATATATCTTAATTTTTAATTTTATTAGAAACGCTTTAGTCGTTTAGCCGTGAAATGACTGTTTGTACAGTCAGTGTGGCTGTCAATTTGTACGACAAAAGTTTTGCTATAATAACATAATGGATCTATAATATATAAATTAGCGTACTGTGTAAGCATATGTGAGATATTTTTCACTCATATAATCCAAAACTGAAAATTTATTACAGAAGAATAGAAGTAACATTATGAAAAAATACCATAATACATTCCTGCTATTTTTTCGAAATAGTATTCATGGAGTATTTACCACTTTCGTTTCTTGGTAGAGGCCAACTAATTATGTATTTAAAACGCCGCTTGTCAACACGTAGTTTGTCCCTGGGGTGAAGATTGTAATCGCCATTGTCAAGGTGAATTCAACGGTGGCCTTAAATACGGTCAAAATAAAGATTATCTTTAATTACTATGACTATTTGTAGTAAATAGTTAGCTTATTAGTTAGTTTATCATCTATCGACGACGATATCATTGATATAGTGTTACAAGTGATTTATTTTATTATTAATTATATTTGTTATTGCCGCGAGACACAGTGTAAATTAAAATTAAAAGTAGTCAGGTCAATAAATTCAAACTAAAAAAAAATTTTGCGATTAATTATTTTTCTTTAATAAATTAAATTAATTGTCAATTAAAACTAAATAAATGTTCAAACTTCTTTAGTCATTACTATAGATATAATATCTAATATCTAATCTCACTGATGCCTAGAGAACAGTTAATCTCAATATTAAACGATTCTATGTATGTATGTATATTATTTTGTGTTGTATAATACGACATATACGTGAAATTGAATGATATTTATAAATATGATGATTGAATGAAAAAGTTTTAACGTAAAAAACTAAAAACTACTACAGAAGATTAGTGATACAACCTGTAAAGTTTCACTGGACAATTTCCAGATCAAACAGTCGGCTTCTGGCTAATACTTATCTAATTTATATACCTACAAACAAGACTTTGTTGGGAGGGACTTAACAGGTTTCGGAATTGGAGTGGATATAACACGCTCATATCGTTAACATCGCACCATTCACGCTTCGTTTAGAACAAAGGAAATGCGATTTAACCACAATAAAACCGCGTAGAACGTTTTGTACGTCACGTGTTTCATATTTACGTATAGCGGTTTTTGTATGAAAAGTTTCAAGTTTAATAGTAAAGTTTGAAACTATTTGTGACGCTTGTAATATTAATAAATAATATAAACTATATTAGAATTTAAAGGTTGTATTACTTTACTGTAGCTATAGAACCTTTAACTTTCTATTACCTATTTATTTCGTCGAATAAGCATTACATATGAGGTTATAGAATAATATAAGAAATACGGTCATATATTCACATAGACAGTTAAGTTTATTTGATTAAACAATTCACTTAGAATTATAAGTAGTAAACTTATTCGGTAGACTATTTGATCTAGTCGCTTAATCAAAATAAATGGCATTTTTTTATGTCTTCTGTGCGTTTATCAATAGCTTAGTAGCTAGCTTAGCATAATGTTAATAACACTCATATGATTATAGTTTCCAAATATGGTGGTGATTTAAGAATTAGCAATGATTAGCCTGAATATCTGCTTCCCTTGTGTACAAATGCACTTTTCGGTACACGATTTGTTAGGGTATATACGCTAATATGATAGGGATAGATAAACAACACTATATACATCAGTGCATACTGTCACGCCTATAGAACCCATAATACGGTTGCGATTCCTGAAGATTATGGTGTTATCGCTCCGTATCCAGTCATTTCAATTTTTGAAGCTAAAAAACTAAACTTGCTAAAATAAAATTGTTGTCAAGATTAGTGTTGATCAAGTTTATAATTTATTTCTATGCCAACTTCAGAGTATTCCATTTCGCAATGGTGAAAAATCCAGATTAATTCGAATTTATTTATGATAGACCTACAACTATTTTACTACTTGTCACGTATCAGTTGTCAGGGAGATGTTAACTACAAATAAATACGATATTGTTATCACTGTGCTATTTATAACCCCAAATGAAGTACGTACATAATGTGTTCTATCGAATACTATACTTTATTTTTTATGTTTACTGATAGTGCTTTTTGATTCGTTCAATTCTAGATTGATCGTTTTTATTAAATAAATTTAACTAAGTTACTTATTTATATACATATTTAAGAATACCACGGTACATTTACTGGCAGTGAATGGCGATGACATTTTTTCAAACCGTTCACAATTTTACACCAACCAATTTGTAATTTTTATGTTGCACCACTAAACCCAAGGATGTTTTCTCTACAACATTAATAATTTTAGAAAATTCATCTCTAGGGGCCTGTTCCGAGTTCACTCTGGAGCTTACAATTTTGTGAATTTTAATAATGTCTCTATAAAATAGTGGAATACTAATCTAATCGAATCTAAAAACGGACCACTACACCACTATGACGGAGTTCATTTAATGTCAGTATAGTTTGAATCCTATTCTTTGCATTGATATGTTGTTGTTTTATATTTACTTAAATGTGGCATCAGATTTCTTATCTAAACATACTATATCTAATCCATTCAGATAATTAAGCTAGATATTAGTCTATAAATTTCTCTATAGAAAAAGCCACTATATCAGCTATATGAAGATCAATGAGGATAAAATCTCGACGTCGAAGGATAAAAAGTTTCCAACAAAGTATAGAAAACGATGCTGCAACTTTATATGTGGCTAATGAAAAACTGCTTAGATACGGTGTATTTTGATTCTCTCTCATTCGCTAACAAACTTGTTTAGTACAAACAAATGATTGATTTCTTACGTATTAAACTATTATTACATTGCAATTATCATTTGCCAATATTTTATTATATAAAAGAAAAATTACATAATGTATACAATTGTAGGTGTGTTATAATAGAATATTGTCTAAGGAGAGAATTTTATACAAATTCTATGTATTGACAAGATACTGATTTTCGTATAAACATCAAGTAATACGACCCTACAGTTGTTAATTGTTATTGAACTCAGTTGATAATTATTACGTTATCCACTAACTGCTTGATCTGTAAGGTAACGAGTTATAAATACTTGACCCAGGTGAAATAGACCACTTTGTTTACATTTCTAAATCGGAAACATCTGCCGTTTCACATCACAAGCATGAAAGTATCTAAGAATTACGATTATTGCTATTTATTTTAAGATCTTTGTGATGTCGATATCGCCACCCAGTACCTAAATATATATTTTGAATGTCTACGTTACTCTTTACTTACGATATCCTTGCTATTTTTTATAGTTACCGGTTCGACAAGTAACATAATTCATTAGCTATTAGAAATAGTTTGGTCGTCTGATAGTGTTATGCATTATAACTGCCAAAATAGAAAGTCAAATAAGCTGACAGCCCACCTGATTGTGAGTGGTAACTATCTTCTATATAAATGGGCATCACGTTAATATATACTGGCCGTGTAACACTGATGCGTTGTCATTTCTTAGGGCTAAGGTGTCATGCTGTACCTTGTAGTTTTACTGCCTTGTCATATATTTCATACGATGTGTGAATGCATAATTATAATGGGAGCTGCATGGCGACCGACATACAGGTACGCAAGCGATGCCCACGCAGATGATATCGTACAAAGTCTACTTTGGTAATATTATAATTGTAAAAAGTATTCACAGTGTATTATTAGCCGAATTTAGCCATGTCAAATGTCTTGTTTCAACAACAACGTCGATATTTAATACTTCTATCTCTATCCACATTGAAGTTACTGTCGTGATAATATCTATTTTCTCTCACAGTAATAAGATCTTATTACGCACCCATTCCGATGAATTTATACTTTTAACCTACGCATAAGATGACCTATACAAATAAGTATGATAACACCAGTTTGATTAATCTCGGATGAATAAGGTCTAATAAATGTCAAAATTTTCTTGGATCATTTGCACTTGAGGAATTCATACAAGACTTTCAAGCAATATTCCTTTAATACGTTAACATATATTATATATCATGTACTAAAATCAGTAAATATATAGCATGTTGTAGTATAGTATATATAGTAAAATAACAACATCAGCAGCAGTTGTAACGCGGTCTTATGAAAATTAAACTTTACCCAGTCTTTTCGTAACTGAAATATGTCTACAAATTATTTATGGTTAATATTATAAATATGTTTATGTCTCTGTCATATAAATCTCTAACAAAACATCTTTAGAGTCGTAATATATTAATACCAAATATAAGTCTTTTGTTCAGAGAAACGTCCATGCTACATGCAAAATAAATACTTTAACCATGCTCGACCCCAATTAAAGGAACGACCGAGGGAGTTGGGTGTTACGGGGGTAACATTTTGAATTTTTTGATTTATTTTTGTTTTGCTAACGAGTACAAGGTTTTTATTGGCAAGACCTTGATTTAACACGAGGGGTTGGACATATATAAAATAATCAGTAATTGAATGTGTGGACAGGGTAACAACACGAGCTTAAATGATTTTCTCCGGCAAGGAACAGTCGTAAAGTCTGAGAAAACGGCAGGGAAGCAGTGAATGTATATAACTTATATCTGCAGTCAATACTGACCCTTCATTGTTGAATACAGTAGAAATCAGAATTGATTCTTAGGAAAT